GCGAAACCTGGCGACGAGTCTGTACCAGCGACAAGGCCTCCTCATACAGAGGTGCATCAACCGAAGGAGGTGCGTCAGCCGAAGGAGGTGCGCCAACCGAAGGAGGTGCGCCAGCCGAAGGAGGTGCGCCAACCAAAGGAGGGGCGTCGACCGAAGGCCCCTACACCGGGCCCAGGCTGAAGGACCAGAGGCGACTTCATCATGCCCCTATCGGCAGCTAGCCGATCCACTTTAGAGGACAGCTTTTCTAGTCCTTCTATTGGGGGGAGCACACATAGCCATCGCTCCCTCAAGTCGCCGGGAACGGCCGAATTGATCTGGAGGAGGATGTGACAAGGAGAGGTGTCTGTTGGCTGCTGCCAGACGTTCCACCTCAGTGATTCTAGCCACTCTGAGCGCCCGAGGCATGCAGCTACAGCTCATGCAGGCGTTTACCGTGAGAACCTCCCTCAGATGCTCACATTTCTCAATGGCTCAAAAGAAGCCATACAGGCGCTACATGAATGAGCCACTCCGTAGGTAGCAAGATGCAGCGTAGCCGGGAGCGGGTGCGGGCACACAGCCTTCACCAGCTACCTGCTTAATGGAAAGAGTAGAGCGTCGCTGCTACTCGCCGAACAGAAAGAGGGATGTAATTACACCCACGTTACCGGCAGAGGGAGCGGGAGCGAGAGCACTGCCTTCACCTGGCTGGATTAATAAACACGGCAGTTCAGCGTCTACCAGGAGCGGGGGCGAGAACACTGCCGGCTGAGTTAGAGACGAATGCCAGATGCAGCATAACCGGGAGCGGGTGCGGGAACACAACCTTCACCAGCTACCTGCTTAACTGAAAAACAGGGCAGTTCCGCGTCTACCAGGAGCGGGGGCGAGAACACTACCTTCACTGGTTGAGTTAGAGACGAATGCCAGATGCAGCGTAACCGGGAGCGGGTGCGGGAACACAGCCTTCACCAGCTACCTGCTTAACGGAAAGACAAGGCAGTTCAGCGCCTACCAGGAGTGGGGGCGAGAACACTGCCTTCACTGGCTGAGTTAGAGACGAATGCCAGATGCAGCGTAACCGGGAGCGGGTGCGGGAACACAGCCTTCACCAGCTACCTGCTTAACGGAGAAACAAGGCAGTTCTGCGTCTGCCAGGAGCGGGGGCGAGAACACTGCCTTCACTGGTTGAGTTAGAGACGAATGCCAGATGCAGCGTAACCGGGAGCGGGTGCGGGAACACAGCCTTCACCGGCTACCTGCTTAACGGAAAAACGAGGCAGTTTGGCATCTACCAGGAGCGGGGGCGAGAACTGCCTTCACTGGTTGAGTTAGAGACGACTGCCAGACGCAGCGTAACCGGGAGCGGATGCGGGAACACAGCCTTCACCGACTACCTGCTTAACGGAAAAACAAGGCAGTTTGGCGTCTACCAGGAGCGGGGGCGAGAACTGCCTTCACTGGTTGAGTTAGAGACGAATGCCAGATGCAGCGTAACCGGGAGCGGGTGCGGGAACACAGCCTTCACCAGCTACCTGCTTAACGGAAAAACGAGGCAGTTCAGCGTCTACCAGGAGCGGGGGCGAGAACACTGCCTTCACTGGTTGAGTTAGAGACGAATGCCAGATGCAGCGTAACCGGGAGCGGGTGCGGGAACACAGCCTTCACCAGCTACCTGCTGAACGGGAAGAGTAGAGCGGTGCTACTACTCACCGAACAGAAAAAGGGATGTAGCTACATCCGCATTACCGGTAGAGGGAGCGGGAGCGAGAGCACTGCCTTCACCTAGCTGGGTAGAATAAAGAAGCTTAACAGTACACGCAAGACGTTAGCCGAGCAGCTGCTGCTAACGATCAAGCTATATCAAGTCAAATAACACACATGTTTAAGACCAGATAACTAGCTTCGAAAGAAGAGAACAGCACAGAGCTGTAGTTACAGCAGTAACCATGGCCAGTGCTCACACGGCATATAACCGTAGTTACAGTAGTAACTATGGCCAGTACTTACACGGCTTAGAACCGTAGTTACAGTCGTAACTATGGCCAGAACTTACACAGCATAGAGCCGTAGTTACAGTAGTAACTCTGGCCAGTACTTGCACGGCTTGGAACCGTAGTTACAGTAGTAACTATGGCCAGTACTTACATGGCTTGGAACCGTAGTTACAGTAGTAACTATGACCAGTATTTACACAGCATAGAGCCGTTTACGGTATTGACTATGGCCAGTACTTGCACGGCTTGGAACCGTAGTTACAGTAGTAACTATGGCTAGGACTTACGGCTTAAAACCGTAGTTACAGTAGTAACTATGGCCAGTACTTACACAGCATAGAGCCGTAGTTACGGTATTGACTATGGCCAGTACTTACACGGCTTGGAACCGTAGTTACAGTAGTAATTATGGCCAGTACTTACGGCTTAGAACCTTAGTTACAGTAGTAACTGTGGCCGGTGCCTAAAAGTGTCAGCCAAACGGCTGCCCACTAGATAATATAATATTGGGAGGATGAAATCCTCCTTAATGGCCACACATGCAGAGCACACAGCACACAGTGAAGATTGTTCTCTGCATATCGTCCTAGTGCTAGGAGTCTAGTACTAGGAGTCTAGTACTAGGAGCAGTAAATACAACGATATAGCGCTACTGCAACCATACCATGCGTTTACCGCTGAGTTAAATAATGAAGCTTAACAGTACATGCACGGTGTTAGCCAAGCGGCTGCTGCTAACAATCAAGAAACCAAGTCAGAACACAATGTTAAGACCAGATAATTAGCTTCTAAGAAAGAGAACAGCCCGCATAGAACCGTAGGCCATGGTTACAGTAGTAACCGCACATGCGGAGCACACAGCACCCGCAGTGAAGATGTTCTCTGCATATCATCCTAGTGCTAGGAGTCTAGTACTAGGAGCAGTAATACAACGATCTAGCGCTACTGCAATCAAACCCTATGTTACCGGGAGCACTGCCCTCACCGGCTGAGTTAATAGTTAAGCTTAATAGCAAGGTGTTAGCCAAGCGGCTGCTGCTAACAATCAAGCGACCAAGTCAGAACACAAATGTTAAGACCAGATAATAGCTTCTAAGAAATAGAAAGTACTTACCTTACTCTCTGCCTCTAAACGAAAAACGGGTTAAATTGAATGAGGGATACAGCCAAAGCTGGGACTCAAATGCTAATGATAGCTCGGGCACAACGCCACAAGCAGAACTTTCAAAAGAGCATAAGGGCAACTTTATGGGAGAGGAAGCGGGAACACTGTCGTCACCAGAAAGTCTAAGCCAAACAAAAAATAAGACAGCAATCAGGACAACTTGGCTGGGAGAGGGTGCGGGGACACAGCCATCACCAGCAACAAGCTGACACCAACCTGTCTGTCGAGGCTCTGCACAGCGCACAGCCGGCCACAGCTCCTGGAGGACGCGTTAACGACCCGTAGCTCCGACTGTCAGGAAGCTGCACGCGGCCAGCTGCTTGCAGAGAAATCCCTCAGATCAGACGTTCAAACCTGAACGCTGTAGGCTACAAAAATGTAGCCGCGGTACCCTCGAGCAGCGAGAAGATGAAAGGAACAGATCCTCTGACGACACCGGCTGATATAGCCGGTGTCACGTGGGTCACAGGTGACTTTGTTGGTATTGGTACTCGAGCTGCGCATGCGCGCGATGGACATATCCAGTGCTGAAAGCACCGCCTCTGGCGGTCAGTAGGGACGAAATAGAACTCCATTGACTGTGGGACAGCTATAACTCTCATTCCATCTCGATTACTTCGATCACTGTGCTTCCTCGAGTCCAGTGAAACTCATCTGTCTTAGGGTTCCTGTTCTTTAACCTGTCAGTTCTTGGAAACACTTCCAGAGTCTAAAATCGTCTCACACACCCACAGCTGAACTTTGATCATGTTGATTTTCTGAATAATTAGTGTGTCTTGCACCTTACTCAGAGCTTAGAGAAAAATCCTTTAAATACATGATCATTTGAGCAGAAATTGTACAAAACCATATTTTGGATTGCAGACAGTTCTTCCCAAATGTCCTACAGTGTCACCATGTTGTGGTCAAACAAAGAAACTCGCACATACACGAGACATAAGAGGGTGCAGGTGGACGCTTTAATTAGACACATTCTCTGTTATTGCAGATTTACCATGGGGCTAAAACATTTTTGACAAAGTGCAATGTAGTATGTGCACACACATCGGAAGCGATTAGCAATGCTGCCTCGGCCTCAGCTCTGCAGATAAACACCTCTGCAGTTTGACTTCCAGGCCAAAGCCAGCCCTCAGGGGGTTTGGGTAATCCTCAGTCTGGGACAGGTGCACATAGTCTAGAGGTCTGGCTGACCACTGTAAATATCTTTTGCACATGTAGAGGGTTTTTACATCGATAAACAGTAGGAGCAGTGGCATGCATCAGGTCAAGCTGCAGGTTCACTCTGAAGAAACTCTATCATATACTGTAAGTCAGTCGTAACAAATTATTGGGGTAATAATTTTTCATGTGAGTTCATAATGTTAACACCTCCCAATAACTGCTTTTATTAGCTTGTTTTATGTCAGACAGTTTTAACCCTCATTTGATGCTTTTATTTTCTTTGCGTCATTGGAATTTGAGTTAAAACTGAACCCATAATATTGGAATAGTGTACAACATTATGATCACCAATTTACATTTACCTAAATGATGGCAATAGCCACAAAGTAAGAAACAAATGATAGGATCTATTTATGTTTGTGTGGATGATTCAATATAATCACATCTGGTGATTTACACTTCAGGCCAAAGGTTTTATAGATATGATGTCAAATGAATCTGAAATGATGCAGTATAAGTCAAGACATCCTCCCTAGTACATACATGTATTCAACACTGTCCCTGGAGATGGGAGAACAACTCTATGACTGCCTAAGAATCATGAATGCCTCACAAATTAAAAATGTTTGATTATATTTTATCTTTGAGTGACTCTAATGACTTTTTCCACTGTCTATTCATGTGTATACTTTCAGAAAAGGGGAAATAAGAGTTGGAATTGATGATTGTGGAGTGGAATTTAAGAAGGGGATTTGAGAAGAGAAGAACTGGGAGGAGGAGCCGGTGATCGCAGAAGGAAGAGGAAGAGAGGAAGAGTATGGGCTGCTCTTCTGTGTGGATCCTTCTACTATCCTTTTCTCTGTCCCACCAGAGCGTCACAGCACAAGCTGAAGGTAACAGATGACATCAAGCATCATCAAGCACTTTCTGTTATTGTTTTCCACATATTCAGCCATTCAGTTATACATTCATACATAATTCCAGGCCGTGACTCATTGCCTCACTCACCTTTTTCTATTGTTCCTTCACTTTCTTATTGTCAAATTAGTAGTCATTATACATATTGGTCCATTTCAGAATAATATATATGATATGTTTTATAATGATTGATCATTAAAGTGTTATCAAAGCTGATAAAGGTGTAGCTAGTTTGAATGACTTTGTATACTGCAGGGTAGCTTGTGAATTTACTCCAGATGGAACTATAGTCTGATTTAACACTTGATTATTTCACATCATTAATCAACATCTGTAAAGTAACTAAAGGTATTCAAGTAATGTAGTGGAGTAAAAGTACACGATTTACCTCTGAAATGTAGTGTGGAAGAAGTATAAAGTAGCAACAAATTGAAACACTCAAGTTAAGTACCTCAACATTGTACTTAACTTACTTGAGCAAATGTACTCAGTCACTTTACACTACTGAAATTCAGCCTCATGGCACCATCAGTTTTCAACATCAGTTGTTTGATTCTGAATCAACACCATATGTCTCAGTGTCCACAATGCTCACTGATCTATGAATTAGATGACTTAGGGGCACAGGCCAGAGAAAGGTCAGGTGTTCAATGAACACAGTCTGTGCTCCGTCATTAAATCTGGACACATGCACTGGAACACGGGGTAGACACTTACCCAGCTCCACTTTCTCTCCAGGCTGTGTCTAGTCAGGGAATTTTAACATATGCTAGCCTCATGTACCATACAGCACTCTGTCTGCCAGCCTGTCAAACCCATCTCCTGGATACAGAACCTTAAGCCCAAGGTGCTATTGGATGTCGCCAAAAGGTCAATCAGCCAATCGAAAGTTTGATTTCCTCCACCTGGAATGTGGTTGGCAGAAAGTGATTTGTAAAGTTGTTGGGCAGAATTATGGAGGGATATAAATAGCCCAAGGCCATATTTGAAGCTGCTGCTCCCTTGTAACTGGTACCATGGCTTATTATTGACAGTGTTAATTCACATTCAGTCATATCACATCATATGAATGTCTGTAGCAACCCTGAGGGCTACTGTTTCATATTACACACAAGAAGAGTGGTCGATTTCAAATTAATACATTGACAACTTCAAGCTACAATAATTGATATTTTTGGATTAACGATTATTCAAATTCCTGTAAGCAATGTATGGATCCCTCAGAGAATCATAATCCAACTTCACTGCTCTATGGATCTTTCTGCCTCTTTCTAGTGAGTCAGGGATTTTTTTTACAGCCCACAAATTGACTGAGTTGGTCATAAACATGGACGCAAATGAATGCTCAATGTCCGCTGGATGTGTAAATAAAATATGCATTTAACGTGTAACACATTGGTTTTGGGAAAGCAGAAGCAACATTAGTATTCACTTGGTACCATGTTTTTGTCCACCAGATATATGTAAGACTAATATTAGCTCTCCTCCCATCTACTGTATGTTTATGGTCTCAACCTACTCTTAATATTTGACTCCTTTGAGGCGGCAGTGGCTCAGTCTGTAAGTACTTGGTCTTGGAACCGAAGGGTCGCCGGTTCACGTCCCGATTAGACCAACAACAACAAAAAGATGGAGTGAGCTGGTAGCTGGAGAGGTGCCAGTTCACCTCCAAGGCCATTGCCGAGGTGCCCTTGAGCAAGGCACCTAATCTCCAAACTGTTCCCTTGGCGCCGGGTACCTGGCAGCCTCTCTGCTCTGCCACCTCTCCTATCTGCATGTGGTTGTGTGTGTGCATGTTTATCCTCTGTGTTTGTGCATGTGTGTGTAATGTGTGTAAACACAAGAAATGCCCCTGTAAGATTAATAAAGTGTATCTTCTTTAGATACTAAATGCCTCATATATTGCTAGCAACAAGTCCTCCAACTCATACGACCAAATGGGTTGATTGTTCAGGCCCTTATTACGACCAAATATGTTGTTTGTTCAAAAGCTTAATACGTCCTATAATTACGTTTTAAAGTTGTCGCCCTCTAGTGCTCCTGTTGAATGCAAACGTTACAGATGGTCGTTTATTGACTAATAACCCTCTCTGTAAAATCCTAAATTGTAGGATAGTTTGGCCATTAAAATGCTTTTTGATTAGATTTATAGCGAGAAGTGTAGATTGTACTTTTCAAATCCACGTCCAGTCGATATGTAGGATCTATAGTTTGATAGATATTACGAAGATGATTTGAGGTATGCGGCAGCCTCCATGTAAAGTTACGGGTTGAAAACAGTATTTCCGGTCTCAACGTTTTTATAATAAAACCAATGATCAAATGATTTAACAGTGATATCTGCAGTACTCATCCACTAAAATACATCAGTTTATCCTTGTTAATTATACGACATTTATTGGTTTAAATTGTGTACAATGCTTTTGTGTTTTTCCCATAGGTTTTTCTCTTTCGATTCTGAGAGACACCTTTCTTTTTTCAGAGGTTTTGATAGGCTAAAATATTGATTGTTTTACCCGCAATGCACGTCGGGATATGGTGTTTATATGATATGAAATCGGAAAACATGTTTTAAAAATAAAATAATACTTTATTCCGAGTTTTCTTGCTTTTCTTTTTGGAAGTCATCACATAACGGCATTGTAATACACGGTTCGGCTGCATTAAATATTACATATCTGCCGTAGATATTTATTTATAGAGCCCTGATCAGAAGACCTTTTGACAAACTGTAAGAAATGCCGCCAAAACTGAATATGTGACGTGGATCATAATATTAGCAATTAAACAACATCTTCCATTTATTTTCACACAATACGTCTCCTTGCAGTATCAACACTAATTCGGCTGACTTTTATATTTGATCCAATTGGTAGATAGGCTATATTTACACCATAACGGTACACAGCTGATAGAAAGGGATTGTTTTGTAGTTTTTAAAGATATTATTTACTACCTTTCCAACTCCTCGTGCAGTTGACTGTTACAGGTCTATACAGGTTCATAGTACAATGCATAAGCTTCAAATCGAGAGACTGAAACTGTATTTTCCAACAGGAGGATGTGCAAAACAAACAAACTAATAAGGCTTTATTTAAACATTAAAGAATATTTAAGGTCTTCTTTTGAATAAGAAAAAAACGTTGGGGTTATCCACAGATAAATATGAAGTCTGACAAAGTACTTAACGTCCAATATATTGCATAGTTTATTTTGACACTTGACAATCACCTTCCCTGAATTTGACTCAGGTGTAACTATATTTCACATCATTAATCATAATCTGCAAAGTAACTAAAATAAATGTAGTGGAGTAAAAATACCAGGTTAACCTCTGAATTGTAGTGGAGCAGAACAAAGTAGTACATGCTGCTGTAACAAAAACTGGACTGGACTGGAGTTATTTGTGAATAAACGTCCCTCCGGAGCGTTTGCAATGAACGGGCCGGGAGCATGTTGTTTCTTACACGACCACTAGAGCACCTCTAGGTCGTGTAAGAAACAACATACACTTTAAAACGTGTCTCTGGGTCGTAATAAGGGCATGAACAATCGGCCTATATGGTCGTTTTTTGTAAGAGGCCAGGCTGGTTGCTAGTTACTAACTTTCTTATTTTGAAGGAGGTTGGCAAGTATCAGTAGATAGAAGCAAAAATGCTCAGTACCCCTGAAGTGAAGTACCATTTATTTTACCCAAATCCAATTTAAACAACCTTTATTGATTTAAACATGACATAATTCTCGCCCTTGTCCACCAGTTAGTTAGTAATAGGCTATGTGGTTTTTTCCACAGTGTGCAAACTCGACCGGATAACTGCTGATTCCAGAATGTTTAAGTACTATTTTGTTTTTAGACTTCTCTGTTTCAATCTACTCTGTATAAATGTTCTTTAGTTCATCTGGCTAAAATTGTGTTTTTAAATCTCAGAACAGCTAAAATACCTGTTTTTCAGGCAGAAATCTGGGTAACTTATTTTTACATAAATCTTAAAACTGAACTATCTGCTTCTTAGGGTTAACTTTGATTTAAACAATTGTTTTTCCCTCCTTCCTTCTTCCAAGCGACTTTGTTAACTACTTTGAAAAAAAGGTTGATGATATTCGCTCTTCTTTTTCCGACTCACCATTACTCACCACTGGGTCACCAGACCCACCGTTCACCCACACACTAACCTCCTTTTCCCCTCTCTCTCCAAATTAGGTTCTTACCCTCATTACCTCTGCCCGTCCTACCACCTGTCCTCTGGACCCTATCCCCTCAAACCTCCTTCAGACTATCGTTCCTGATATTCTACCGTTTCTCACCCATCTCATCAATACTTCTCTAACTTCTGGTCACTTTCCAAACAGTCTCAAGGAGGCAAGAGTAAACCCTCTCCTAAAGAAACCCACTCTCAACCCGTCCGATGTTATAAACTACAGGCCTGTCTCTCTCCTCCCGTTCCTGTCTAAAACACTTGAACGTGCAGTCTTTAAACAACTCTCCTGTTATCTCCATCAGAACAACCTTCTTGATCCGCACCAGTCTGGTTTCAAGGCAGGTCACTCCACAGAAACTGCTCTCCTCGCTGTCTCTGAGGAACTGCACACTCCTCCTTCGCACTCTCCAAGAACTTGGAGTTTCAGGCTCTGCACTTTCCCTCCTCACCTCATACCTCGAAGACCGCACCTACAGGGTAACTTGGAGAGGGTCCGAGTCCGACCCTTGTCAATTAACTACAGGGGTCCCTCAGGGCTCTGTCCTTGGTCCCCTCCTCTTCTCTCTGTACACAAACTCGCTCGGATCGGTCATTAGCCTGCATGGTTTTTCATACCACTGCTACGCTGACAACACCCAATTAATTATGTATTTTCCACGTTCAGAAACCCAGGTCGTCGCACGCATCTCTGCTTGTCTAGCAGACATCTCTCAGTGGATGTCTGCTCACCACCTCAAGCTCAATCTTGACAAGACTGAACTGCTTTTTCTTCCGGGAAAAGAGTGTCCCATTCTTGACCTAACAATCAACATTGGCCCCTCTGTTGTTTCCCCAACTCAGACATTACATTGCATTTAGCTGACGCTTTTATCTAAAGCGATTTACAATAAGTTCGTTCGACCAACAAAATACAAACTTGAAGAAAACAGAATCATATAAGTACATCAGGTTTCATAGAGCAAAAACATTTCAAGTGCTACTCAACTGGCTTTAGGTAATTATTAGTATATAAGTGCTTTGTTAATAGTTCAATTTCTCGAAGTGGAGTCGAAAGAGATGAGTTTTCAGTCTGCGCCGGAAGGTGTGTAAGCTATCTGCTGTCCTGATGTCAATGGGGAGCTCATTCCACCATTTTGGAGCCAGGATAGCAAACCCACGTGTTTTTGCTGATGGGAACTTGGGTCCCCTTCGCAGCGAGGGTGCAGCGAGCTGTTTGGTTTATGCAGAGCGGAGTGCACGTGCTGGGGTGTACGGTTTAACCATGTCCTGGATGTAGGAAGGGCCAGATCCATTCGCAACATGGTACGCAAGTACCATTGTCTTGAAGTGGATTCTAGCAGTTACCGGAAGCCAGTGAAGGGAGCGGAGAAGCAGCGTGGTGTGGGAGAATTTAGGAAGGTTGAAGACCAGACGAGCCGCTGCATTCTGGATGAGCTGCAGAGGTCGGATGGCGCATGCAGGTCGACCAGCCAGGAGGGAGTTGCAGTAGTCTAGGCGTGAGATGACGAGAGCCTGGACCAGAACCTGCGTCGCTTTCTGGGTCAGCTGGGGACGTATCCTCCTGATGTTGTAAAGCGTGTATCTGCAGTAGCGGGTTGTAGCAGCAATGTTTGCAGTGAAGGACAGGTTGTTATCTAGGGTCACACCCAGATTCCTTGCAGTCTGAGTCGGGGAAACAACAGAGGTGCCGATGTTGATTGTTAGGTCAAGAGTGGGACAATCTTTTCCCGGAAGGAAAAGCAGTTCAGTCTTGTCAAGGTTGAGCTTAAGGTGATGAGCAGACATCCACTGAGAGATGTCAGCTAGACAAGCAGAGATGCGTGCGACGACGTGGGTCTCTGAGCGGGGAAAGGACAGAATTAATTGGGTGTCGTCATCGTAGCAGTGGTATGAAAAACCATGCGGGCTAATGACAGATCCGAGCGAGTTTGTGTACAAGGAGAAGAGGAGGGGACCAAGAACAGAGCCCTGAGGGACCCCTGTAGTGAATTGACAAGGGTCGGACTCCGACCCTCTCCAAGTAACCCTGTAGGTGCGGTCTTTGAGGTATGAGGTGATGAGGGAAAGTGCAGAGCCTGAAACTCCAAGTTCTTGGAGAATGCGAAGGAGGATCTGATGATTCAGACTGCAAGGAATCTGGGTGTGACCCTAGATAACAATCTGTCCTTCACTGCAAACATCGCTGCAACAACCCGCTGCTGCAGATACACTCTTTACAACATCAGGAGGATACGTTCCTTCCTCATCCAGAAAGCGACGCAGGTTCTGGTCCAGGCTCTCGTCATCTCACGCCTAGACTACTGCAACTCCCTCCTGGCTGGTCTACCTGGATGTGCCATCCGACCTCTGCAGCTCATCCAGAATGCAGCGGCTCGCCTGGTCTTCAACCTTCCTACATTTTCCCACACCGCACCACTCCTCCGCTCTCTTCACTGGCTTCCAGTAACTGCTAGAATCCACTTCAAGACACTGGTACTTGCGTACCATGCTGTGAATGGATCTGGCCCTTCCTACATCCAGGACATGGTTAAACCATACACCCCAGCACGTGCACTCCACTCTGCATCAGCCAAACAGCTCGCTGCACCCGCACTGCGAGGGGGACCCAAGTTCCCATCAGCAAAAACACATCTGTTTGCTATCCTGGCTCCAAAATGGTGGAATGAGCTCCCCATTGAAATCAGAACAGCAGAAAGCTTACACATCTTCCGGCGCAGACTAAAAACTCATCTATTTCGACTCCACTTCGACCGATACAATTACTAACAAAGCACTTATATACTAACAAAGGACAGGCTTATCTAAAGCCAGTTGAGTAGCAATTGAAATGTTTTGGCTCTATGAAACCTGATGTACTTATATGATTCTGTTTTCTTGAAGTTTGTATCTTCTTGGTCGAATGCACTTATTGTAAGTGGCTTTGGATAAAAGCGTCAGCTAAATGCAATGTAATGTAATGTTCTCTATTATTTTCCAACTGAACTGCTTTGAATTCAGATGTGAACAACAACATGAATATGAATACAGTGTTTGACTGACTTGCTTGTTTACATCCCCTGACTGTCCCAAAGGGGCGAGTACATCTGCAAACAGATGCTGGGGGAATGCCTTTGCATTTGTCTTTAATATTTCTGTCCTATATTTCCTAGCTTCAATGCAAATGACTCTTATTTTCTTTTTATATTAACCTTTACATTCATTTGTCCTGATAACATCTGAACCTGAGGTGTACTCTCTAATGTTTCACAACTTTTCTCTTGATCTTGTTAGAGCTGATTGCAGCAGTGCATCATTATTTCCTAGACATTTTCTTTCCTTGCAGAATTTTCTGCAGCATATGCTGTATCCACTGAGCCACATCCAAGGGGTAAATCAATGGTGGTCTAATGTACACAACCTTTGAGACATCAGCATAGATAACCTTCAAGAAAACCCTTCCTAATCCCTCAGCATGTGTTGTTTTCTTATTCTTGGCATGTGGTCCTCACCTGGCTGCCATACCAGACTGACACACTTCTAGATAATTCTTCTAGTTTTCCTCTTCCATCTCCACCATCTTCGGGGAGCCTCCTTGCTCACAATCTCCACCACATTTATGTGCTTTTACAGAAATCTATGGACTAGAAAATGCATCACAATAATTAGAAAAAGCAAAGTGTGTAGACAAGGGTTGTTGACTGCCTATATGAGGCTCAACTCAGGATGGGAACGATGAACATCCTGTTTATTTGCATCAGTGGTTTAAACTGTGGTTTTGCATCAGTTTTTTAAATATAGCACTAAAGCTTCTGTTGTGGGCAGAGATAGTAGATAGGTATTTGAGGGAGAACATAATGTTAGGTCGCCCTGGGCTGGAGACATATGTCTCCCCCTGTGAATCCTGGGATTGCAGCCAAAGGAAAAAGGGCAAAATAATAGAGGCGGGAAAGCTCTGTAATGAAATCGAGGACAGCAGAGGAGCTGAGTTATCACATACAGAACAATCAGTGGTGCCTATCTCTTATTCACCACACTAATCAATGCTGTCGTCACCATGGTTTATTGCATATGTAATGCCAGAATATTGACTCAGAGGGCATTTGCACACGCAGCAGATTTCTGTGTCGAGTGGGAGCGTTTGATAGTACAGTACTGTATATCAATGTGGAGAATTAATGTGTGAAGGTGTGTTCATCTGAGTTGCAAGAGATAATGTATGTGGGAGTGTGTGTATATACCTTTATATATACAGTCTATGGTATATACATGTAGTTACTGCATCAGGTTACCTTTCTTGTGCGTCTGGCTTTTTAACAGCACTTTAAAACACATCCGAGTCCTGCTGGCAAACGCATCAGATCCTTATGTTAAATGCGTTTGTTTGCCTGAGCGAGGGGACTGACCCTGATTTTGGGCGTGTTTACCTTATTATTCTAAGCGTTCTTCATCGCTGTACTAAACTTTTATTGCTGGAGTGCTCCGAATATTGATAGTCTCTTTGGCTCACTTATGTCTCATTAAAGATTCATAGGGATTTGTGCAGGGCTTTAGCTGTAATACAGAAGCAAGTAGAAGGAAACACCTTTTCAGGATGGAACAAGACTGCTCTCTGGTGGTCAGTGTGGGGATTAGACAAAAAGTCTCAACCTTTAACCCTAAAAAGGCCTAAATTGGAATATTTTTTAAAGATAAGGTCAAGGTATTTTGAATTCTATCATCACCGATTCCCCTGATCCTCACTCTTTGGTATTTATGCACACACTAACTCATCCCTTCTTCTTCCCTCAGCATGCAAGACGGTGGTGCAGGCAGACATAGTGTTTCTGGTGGATGAGTCATGGAGTGTGGGCCAGACCAGCTTCTCCAGGGTCAAAGACTTCATCTCGACCATCATCTCCTCCTTTCAGGGCATGGTGTTTGGAACAGAGGGGGTCCGATTTGGAGTCACCGTCTTTGGGGATGTCCCAAAGTAATACTTGAATATCAAAATGTTAAAGACAGCAATTAATTTCTATTAAGCCAGACACATTTATGTTTTGTCCACATCTGTTAGAAAAAACACAAAAAATACAATATTTAAATTAAAGGAGAAACAAAACACAATGTACACAAACTCCAATATCTGTTTTAGCTATTTCCTTTTTGATACTGTACATGATCGTATTTCCTCTGTTTATCTGTGTAGGATGCGGATTGCTTTGACAGACTACAGCTCACAGGAAGAGGTGCTCCGAGCCGTCAGAGACCTCCCCTATGTGGGTGGATCGAGGAGGATGGGGGACGCCCTCCAGTTTCTGGTTGACGCCGTGTTCAGCCCTGTTATCAGCCGTGACCATGCCCCGAAGGTAGAGTGCTTCATGTGAAAACCTATCCGTGGTGACTGCATTCGTCTGCCATAAAGGGATTTTAGTATACCAACAGACTTGGAGCAAAGCATAGAAAAAAGATACCCTTGAAATGTGCCAGAAACTACACATGCTGTAGGTAATTTCAAGAATAAGCAAAGGTAAAATAGGTCTCATAACAAAAACTTCTTCCATGAATGTTAACAATACAAAGGGCATATCTCTTGTTAATGTATGACAAAGTGTTGACACACAAGCAATTGGAAGATGATTGATTCAAGATTACAGCCCACACTGCAAAGACTATTTCTTCCAGCTGGCCATTATCATGGATATGATGTAGGTCTGTATTTGTACAGGAAGGAACATTGTGTGGAAAGACACAAACAAAACAAACCACTGACAAGCTTTTTTACGCATTGAATGCAAACTGAGAGGATGTCTGATAGAAAAGCTACTATTGGAAACAGGTTTTACTTTGGTTTGTTGTTTTGCTTCCAGAAGAAAAAAGGAAAGGGGGGAGGCAAAACATTGTGCGTTTGCCACAGATTTAACATGCTAAATATGCTGAATGACTGTGCATAAGGGTAGACTAAAGGCCAAAAGTGAGATACTCCTCAACAGGTCAATTTGATGGCCATCCAACGATAAACAATGGAGATGAACCTTCTTTGTCACAGAATCATGTTTCAAATTGGTACTGATGAGCCCCGCTAATGCTATTCCAAAAGTATTCAGTTTGTGTGAACTAAATGTCTCAGACAGTCTAACACCGTAGTGTAGCTTCACTATAACACAGCTGGTTAGCATTCCATTCGCCTCTCTATCTCTGAGTTAGTGTGTGAATCATGTTGCAGCAGCACTCTTGACGTGGGAAGGCAGTGAATTCAGGATTAGCTGATATATCAAATTGTACAGCCAGAGCACATGCAGCTACATTCTCATATCGATGATTTCTAGCCCCCTCCTTCATTGACTGATGGATGAGCTGTGAAGTAACTGTTTTAATTTTCCTTAATGGGCAAATTACCAGTTTCTGTTGCAAGCTAGCATCATTGAATTCCACTTTGGCTTAAGGTTTGATTTATTGGGCTGGAGTAAAACCATGAGTCCATGCTTTTTGAGCATAACTCTGAATAGCAGGGATGTTATTTTTATTGAAATAAAACGTTGTTTGGCTAGTGAATAAACATCGATTAAACACATTTTCACAAAACTAAATGCAGAAACTGAATAACTGTAATGAAAACAAACTGCTGTCGTTGTTATGCAAATTATCAGGTTGTTTTTTGATTGTTTAATTTATGATTATTTCTGTCACCCTGCACAGATTGTTGTAATGATCACAAACGGACGTTCAGGCGACCTGGTCGATGCTGCAGCCAAAGCTGTGGCTGACAATGGGATTTCTCTCTTTGTAGTAGGTGAGTGTGGAAGTATTATGGATTCCTGCAACATCCCCACTGCAGAGACCCCTCACATTTTATTGGAGCTCTGCCGGCTTATCTGCGGTGTTTTCACTCAGAAATTCATGTCCTGAACATTTTAATTCATTGGATTCAGTGTGGGTATTTGTGAGTGTGCATGACATTCTTGTTTTTGAGAGTCTGAGTGTTTGTATGGGCAAACATAACAACGTCTACTACTAAATATGTATTCATCTCCTGTGCTGTAAAAGTTTACTTTTTGACGGTGTGGAAAAGCTTTTTTATCCTACATGTTTCCCCCACTCATGAATACAAACTGCTGCTAACCCACAAGTATACTTACACATACAGTTGCAAGAAAAAGTATGTGAACCCTTTGGAATTACCTGTATTTCTGCATAAATTGGTCATAAAATGTGTTCTGATCTTCATCTAAATCACAACAATAGACAAACACAGTCTGCTTAAACTAATACCACACAAACAATTATATGTTTTCATGTTTTTATTGAACACACCATGTAAACATTCACAGTGCAGGGTGGAAAAAGTATGTGAACCCCTAGGCTAAAGACTTCTTCAAGAGCTAATTGGAGTCAGGAGTCAGCCAACCTGGAGTCCAATCAATGAGACGAGATTGGAGGTGTTGGTTAAAGCTGCCCTGCCCTATAAAAAATACACACCAGTTTTGAATTTGCTATTCTTAAGAAGCATTGCCAGATGTGAGCCATGCCTCACACAAAAGTGCTCTCAGAAGACCTACGATTAAGAATTGTTGACTTGCATAAAGCTGGAAAGGGTTACAAAAGTATCTCTAAAAGCCTTGATGTTCATCAGTCCGTGGTAAGACAAATTGTCTATACATGGAGAAAGTTCAGCACTGTTGCTACTCTCCCTAGGAGTGGCCGTCCTGTAAAGATGACTGCAAGAGCACAGCGCAGAATGCTCAATGAGGTGAAGAAGAATCCTAGAGTGTCAGCTAGAGACTTAAAGAAATCTCTGGCACATGCTAACATCTCTGTTGACGAATCTACGATACGTAAAACACTGAACAAGAATGGAGTTCATGGGAGGACACCACGGAGGAAGCAACTGCTGTCCAGAAAAAACATTGCTGCACGTTTGAAGTTTGCAAAAGAGCACCTGGATGTTCCACAGCACTACTGGCAAAATATTCTGTGGACAGATGAAACCAAAGTTGAGTTGTTTGGAAGGAACACACAACGCTATGTGTGGAGAATCCAAAGGGTTCACATACTTTTTCTTGCAACTGTATCTCTTACACACACGCATGAGCCCACAAGCCCACAACTCACTCCCTCAGCTGGGAGCGGTGTAATAATTACTGCTCATTAGCCGGTGGTGTGCTAATCGCAGCCATTTTTCATTAGGCGATTCAGTGTCCTCCATCTGCACCTCTGACACTGAGGCTTGCTCCTCTCGTTCATCACTCCCGCAGAGAAGCTCCACGTACCTCCCCTGTACTCGTGCTAATCCAAGCCCTGCCTATGGAGCCTGTATTGCAGTCTTGATAACAAATATGCACAAATATATGCATCTCAATGCATGTTCCTGTCTAGGTTCAGGTTTTAAGTAACTGGTATTTTGATCCCGCTCTCACTGAAGACTTGCATCATGTTCATTTGCATCTTTTAAAAAAGGTTTTGTATGTTTCAGAATGGTACAACTTTTTGAGCTCTGATTTAATCTTTAGCAGGTGTTTGTCATTTCCATGAACTAACAAAAACAGCCTATGTATGTACCCTGGATGTATAAAGATAATTCATGCAGATCTCAAATGAATCACTCAAACTCAGTGACGTGCGGTGAGGTTCATGGCTGGTGAGGCACTGACTCTTTCAGGGTCAGATTTACAAATATTATATTTTGACCTTAATCGAAATATTCGGTTATTTTCAAAAGCTTTTTTAGTCTGATGCTTCGATTCATTTTAAACAGACCGTTCAACAAAAGGATACCCAAAATCTAAATATTGGATTGTTCTTTCTTAGTAAGATCCCATGTTCATTACAATTGTGGTCTTACCTTGACTTGAAGATGAAGTCCATGCTATCCTTCTGGACAACAATCTCTATTACTTTTTTGTAAAAGTCCTCCTTATCTTCCTGTAGTTTCAAAAGTCTAGTTTGTTGTTTGCGTCTACCGTCTCTGCGTAGAATAACAGTAGCAACAAGAACCTGTTGGCTCACGTGCGCCCCCTTCAGTGCGGCAGAGGTTATGGCTGCCTCCCCTGGTGCTTTTTTCATTGCTGTTGTATGATGAGACCAGCGGGCCTAAATATCATATATACGTGAAATAAGTTATTTAGAGACGATGGATGGCGAGGATAAATGTAATAAAGGGATCTACAAACATTACATTGGTGACATACAGTGAGATGGTGCAGGCATGCGCTTAGGGCCCGCTTTCCAGCCAGTTTCTGTGGGGTGACGCATTCTGAGGTGAGGTAGAGCTCATCTGTGCCTCACCTCACCCCAGAGTAACTGGCTTGAGCGCGCTCACAAAATAAGTGCCCGCGTTAAATTAGTGCCCGCGCTCCAGCCAGTTACTGTGGGCTTACGAGAGGCAGAGCTCGTCCCTGCCTCACTTCTCATCGCTACCCATAGTTGTAGCGGAGCTCGGCAAATTTGCTGATTTTGACTATAAAGAACAACACCAAAGTACTCTGTTTTCCCAAGGATATGGTCTCTGACTTGACTGAGAAGATCCTGCATATTGGGGCTGAACATCCGACTGTGAAGAATGTGGTACTGCACATTGGAACAAATTATGTTTTGAAACAACAGTCAGAAGTGCTGAAAAAAGACTTTAAATGTCTGCTGGAAACGGTCAGCTCTCTAAATGCAGAGGTGTTCATCAGTGGCCCTCTACCGCCAGTCAGAAGAGGAGTGGAGAGATTCAGCAGATTGTTTGCACTGAACACCTGGCTTTCAACTGTCTGTATTGACCATTCTGTCAATTTTATTGACAACTTTAACTTTTTCTGGGACCGCGGACATCTTTTTAAGGCAAATGGAGTTTGTCTGAACAAGTCAGGAGTGAAATTGTTTATCTCTAACGTATTCAACTGCCTACGTCATCAATCTGTTCCCTCTGCCAAGGACAAGCAACAAGAGGAATCAAAACAAGAGAGACACAACACATCGCTCAGAAAACCTTGAAAATCTATCACTGCACCCGCCTGAGGAATATCTTGATTATGGGAGACAAATGGAGGAGTCTCCACCGCCCTTCACCCCCCCTATCACCTCTGAGGATACTCTTCCTTCACCCCACAGCTCTCTCTACTCTCCGTTCACCCTTTCACCCTCGCCACCCTCCTGGAGATCGCTGAACACACGAAGGAGATACAGAGGGTTGGCACCGATTCCTTCCTCGATTTCAAAGACCAAACTAAGGCGATACGCAGGGTTGGCAGCATGTCCTTTACCCCCGCTCCTCAACGACGCCCACCAAAATCACAGCAGAGACGCGCACCATCTCCCCCGTCTTCATCACCGTGCCTACGTCAACCACCTCCCCCCCCTGGCAGCATGTCCTTTACCCCTGCACCATCTCCCCCGTCTCCATCACCGTGCCTACGTCAACCACCTCCCCTCCCTTCAAGAAAGCATCTGCAGTCTCCGAAGCCTGATAAGAATGTGTGTGTACAAAACGCAACAAACTCTTACTGATATGTGCTGGGTCCAGGCTCAAGGGTGTATGGCACTCTCAACTCTTTCCAGGACATGCCGGGGCCCTGCCAGTAGCTTTGCCGATATCTGTGTTGATAGGTAATAGATTAAGAGCGGTGAATCAGCTTAGAAACAGGAAGTGCTCAAACGTTTGTGTGAGTTTATCAAATGTAGCAGTGATTCCATGTCAGCCACAGCTTGTCACAACAAATCTTACTGATAGTGTATCCAACAAACTTAAACTAGCTTTATTAAATGTCAGGTCTCTGGCAGGAAAAACATTTTTAATCAATGATTTTATCACTGAGCACAATCTTGATTTTATGTTTTTAACGGAAACTTGGATTGAACAAAATAACAGTGCAGCTGTTCTTATCGAGCAATCCCTCCCAACTTTAGTTTTATGAGTCAGGAAAGAATGCATAAGAAAGGGGGTGGAGTTGCTATTCTGTTCAATGATTCCCTTCAATGCAGGAAGACATCGTATGGAGACTTTGATTCTTTTGAATGTGTGGCCCTTCGGCTGAAATGCTCCTCTCGAGCTCTGTTCCTAAATATCTATAGACCACCCAAATACTGTGCAAGCTTTTTTGATGACTTTACTGAACTGCTGTCTATAGTGTGTATTGACTTTGACCGTCTAGTCATTGTTGGTGATTTTAACATCCATATTGACAACCCCCAGGACAGAGGGGCTAAAGAACTGTTTTGTGTTCTTGATAACTATGGACTGACTCAGCATGTGACGGAGCCCACGCACAATAAGGGGCACACTCTGGACTTAATTATCTCAAAGGGTCTGAATATCTCTAAGGTTGTGGTGACTGATGTTGCACTCTCTGACCATTCCTGTGTTTTCTTTGAGAGCTCTATTTCTGCTCACAAAAATGTTCAAAAAGAGGTAACCACAAAGCGATATTTAACTGAAAATACTAGGGAAATGTTTACTCAGAATTTTTCTTCCACACTTGCCCCTGCCAACATCTCAGTAAATGAGCTAGTAGATCATTTTAATTCAAAAATTAAAAATGTTATAGATGCCATTGCTCCAACTAAGGTAAAGGAAGTGACTGGGAAGAAAATATCTCCATGGAGAAAGGCCATGACCGTGAGAGCAGAAAAAAGAGAGTGTCGAAAAGCTGAACGCAGGTGGCGAAAAACAAATCTCCAGGTTCACTTTGAAATCTATAAAGAGAGACTTGGCCTTTATAATTTGGAATTGAAAAACGCACGACAGTCTTTCTTCTCTGACATCATTACCAAAAACAATGCACGTGCCTTGTTTGCTACCGTCGACAGACTAACTAACCCCCCAGTGTCAGTAGCCTCTGACTTTCTATCCACCAGGGCGTGCAATGATTTTGCCTCCTTTTTCACTGACAAAATTCAGAAAATCAGACAAGCAGTCAGTGCCTCTGCATCAGGTACAGCAAATGTGTTGTCCCTATGTCCACCTAATATCAATTCAAACACCATGACACAATTCCATCAGATTAATGATAAAAACCTAGAGGACATTATTCAACTTCTGAAATCCTCCTCCTGCTGCCTTGATATTATTCCAACAGGATTTTTCAAAGATGTTTTGCCTTGCATGGCCTCAGATCTACTTCATATAGTAAAAAAATCTCTTCACTCAGGTATGTTTCCACAGGCCCTGAAAACTGAAGTCATTAAACCGCTCTTAAAAAAGAATAATCTAGACGCTTCAGTAATGAACAACTACAGGCCCATATCAAACCTCCCATTTCTAGGTAAAATCATTGAAAAAGTTGTTTTTCAACAGTTGAGTAATTTCTTGCATTTAAATAACTGTTTTGATGTGTTCTAGTCAGGCTTTCGTCTAAACCACAGCACTGAGACTGCTCTTGTAAAGGTCTTCAATGACATCCACTTAAACACAGACAGTGGCAGAACTTCAGTGTTAGTATTATTAGATCTCAGTGCTGCGTTTGACACTCTTGACCACAACATATTACTCGACCGACTAGAAAACTGGGTGGGACTTTCGGAAACAGTTCTAAATTGGTTTGAATCCTACTTAAAGGACAGAAACAACTTTGTTTCTATAGGTAAATACACATCTGAGTTGACAAATATGACATGTGGGGTACCTCAAGGCTCCATCTTGGGGCCTCTTCTCTTTAACATCTACATGCTACCACTGGCTCAGATAATGAAAAACAACAAAATAAGATACCATAGCTATGCGGATGACACACACATTTACGTAACAATTTCACCAGGAGACTATGCTCCAATTCAAACACTGATTAAGTGCATTGAACAAATCAATGACTGGATGTGTCAGAACTTTCTCCAATTAAACAAAGATAAAACTGAGGTAATGGTTTTTGGAGCCAAGGCAGAACGTATAAAAGTTAGCGCTGAGCTTCAGTGTGCAATGTTCAAAACAACAGATAAAGCCAGAAATCTAGGTGTAGTTCATGGACTCTGACCTGAGTTTCAACAGTCACATTAAAACAGTTACTAAATCAGCCTACTATCACCTAAAGAATATATCTAGGATTAAAAGACTAATATCACAGCAGGATTTGGAAAAACTTGTCCATGCTTTTATCTTCAGTAGACTGGACTACTGTAATGATGTCTTTGCAGGTCTCACTAAAAAATCTATTGGAAAGCTGCAGCTGATTCAGAACGCCGCTGCTCGAGTCCTCACTAACACTAAGAAAGTGGATCACATCACTCCTGTTCTGAAGTCTTTACACTGGCTTCCTGTGTGTCAAAGAATATATTTAAAAAATACTGCTGCTGGTTTATAAAGCTTTGAATGGTTTAGGCCCAAAATACATTTCTGACCTACTGCTAAATTATGAACCATCCAGATCTCTCAGGTCTTCAGGGACTGGTCAGCTTTCTGTCCCCAGAGTCAGAACTAAACATGGTAAAGCAGCGTTCAGTTATTATGCTCCAAATATCTGGAACAAACTCCCAGAAACCTGCAGGTCCGCTGCAACTCTGATTACTTTTAAATCCAGACTAAATACTTTTCTTTTTGCCGCTGCTTTTAATTGAACTATTCACATCTTAAACTGCATTGTAAGTTTTATCCATGTATTTTTTCTTTTAATGTTTATTTTATTATCTTTTCTTTTTAATGACTGATTTTAAATGCCATTTTCTTAATGTCTTTCGTTTTTTGTAAAGCACTTTGAATTGCCTTGAATTGTTTTTCCGTTACATTGGAGTATGACAGGTGAGGCTCGGCCTCCCCTGCCTCCCCTGACTGCACGTCGTTGCTCAAACTGCCACAGCTCCTCTTAGTGGTGTAAGTTTGTAAAGAAAACAGCTATGATTAATATTCACTTGTTTTTATTACGCCTTAATCAAGTGAGCCTTATCAAATGTTTGGCAGGCCATTTATTGTGTTCATTGTTTTTGAAAGGTTGTTATCTGCCTTTTCTAAACGTAGTGGGCTTATAGTGTGTAGACAGAGGGTGTTTATTTGACTGCATTGTGTGTTTTTGTCGGTCCTGTGCCAGGTGTTCGGGGGGCTGATGAGGCAGAGCTAAGGAGGATCGTGTCAGAGCCACATGAGGAGCACCTGTTACGCGGCGCTGACTACTCTGTCCTTGAAACCATCCTTCCCAAACTGTCCCGCAGGGTGTGCTTTACTGCCTCTGAACCACCACTTCCTGTGAAAATGTCCCAGCCTGGTGGGTCAATACACATCCAGTTTCAAAAATAATTTAACCAACCTTCATTTAAAAAAAAGAAAAGATGCCCTTATACTGACAGCTGTTTACATTTCTAGTGATGCTTGCAAAGTACAATAAATATGATTAATAGTTCTCTCTTCTCTCAATATGCCCTGAAGTTTTGTCACTAAAATGGATTTATCTTGCTGACAGGTTTTACTGCAAAACCACTTTGCATGTTTAATGTTCCCTGTTCCTTTTCTCACAGATATTTAATGTATATTGTCATCCAATGCCTCTTCCTGTACCTTCTCTCAAACCTAGTTGAGAAGCGTGTGGTGGGCCCCAGAGACCTGCAGGTTAGCGAGTTGGCCCACAGTTCCCTGAGACTGACATGGGGCCAAGCCACAGGTGGTGTCACTGGATATCGTCTCCTCATCTTCCCTCTCAGCTCCAGTGGAAGCCTCCCCCTCCAACAAAGACAGGTGCGGTGTAACCACTGTGCATGATTAAAGTTACAGTGCAGTACAGTACATCCCTCAATTGCTCATGGCCATGACTGCTTATGCTCAAAACTGCATGTCAACTCTAACTACATGTGTGACCAGCAAATGTACTGCACATACAAGCATTGAGTCACTGTGTTGTATGCACAATCAAATCTGTGTAACTTTCCAAATCGCACAATATTGCATCAATGGGATCAGCATGATCCCTATTTCTCCCACAATATCTGCACTTCGGGTTTTACCTGCAGTGGTACTCTTGATAAACAGAACAACAAATTCATAATATATGTTATAAAGCACAACACCCCATCTAATTTGAATATAATGGAGAAGATGGAATTAAACCCTTACTTTCATCAAAGCACAAGGATGCTGGTGGCTGCTGTCTCTGTGTATTTCTCTCTTCTGCCCTAACTTCAACACACACATGCATGCACACACGCACACACATACCCTGTCTCCTCTCAATCTTCTGCATTGATTGTATTCAACAGGTTGATGTGAAGGCAGATGTGAACACCGCTGTAGTTAGTGAGCTGAGTCCTAAAACAAACTATTCCCTCACTCTCTACGCTGTCTACCCCAGCCTTATAGGAGATTCAGCAACAATCACCGTCCAGACAAGTGGGTGTCACACACCATTGCATGCTCATGCACAAATACTTCTGCCCATTTGTTTTCCATTTCACTGTACCTTGCTTACCTGAGCAACAATGTTCTGCCTTGTAGCCCCTTTGCCTCAGGTGTCAAACTTCCGAGTTATCGAGGAGGGCCTGTACTCTCTGCGCCTGGGATGGACGCCTTCTCTAGGGAAGCTCAACGGATTTAAGATATTCATCCCAAGATGTATGCTTGCAATACACAATGCAATTATTATCATTTTACAACCCACACATTGCAAGTATGAAGTATACAAATGTCTGTTTTACAGACAAGTGTATACATCTCAGTCTCTACAGGCATTTGTATACATCTCCGTTTCTAATAGACACGTTTTGAGTCTGATTCTTCTGGATGTTTTGTTCTGCAGCCGACCGACCAGGATTTGCATATGAGAACCTGCTTCCTGGAGACAAATCTTCTCATGTGATTGACAGCCTGGAGGAGGATAAGAAGTACACCATCAGTATTTATGCTGTTTACCCCCAGGGACCAAGTGAAACTGTTTCAATAGTAGGGAAGACATGTAAGTGTATTGCTTTGATGAAAACACCTCCTTTTGTATGTTCACTTTTCACTTAATTTAGTTTTATTTACCACTTGTAATACTCTGACTTAACACTGACAAACATATATGGATAGCTGTTATAATAGGAAACAAGCTACACAAGGAAGCAAATGCCAATGTGTAATACTGTAATATGACCACAGCATGGCGCTGTTGTTCTGGAGAAACACTTGCACAAGGTCCTTTACATGCAGACTCATTTATCTCTATTTCATAGTGCTAGAGAAATATCTCCAGAGGTCTTGAGTTGAATGGATTGAGATTGTTATGTTTCTTATTTTATTAAAGGGGACCTATTATGCAAAATCCACTTTTTCACGTCTTTTATGCATAAACATGTGTCCCCCATGTGTAAAGAGATTCTGAAAGTTTCAGGAAAAAAGATTCACTCACTTTTTGTCCTGGTTCCATTTATATAAAAACATGAAAATGAGCTGATCAGATTTTGGCCACTTTATGATGTCATAACGATTCTTTGGCTTGTGTAACCATTAGCCAATCACCAATCAAGGTCATTTAAATTAAATAACTTGACTCTTATCATAACTATGATTTTTTTAAATGACTAAATAAACTTAGACTGAATATTGAATATGAGTGTGCTCTTCCTGCATATGTGTGTGTTTGTGTGAACATGGGTGTGTTTCACAGTAAAACTGGTACGAGTTCAGAAGTTCCTGGTTCAAAACGCCACCACAGACACCGTCCAGGCACGATGGGCATCCGTTAAGGGTGCCACAGGATACCGTCTGACATGGGAATCCCCAGGTACGGTTCCATCTTTACTTAGTAATTATACACAAGGTTTATCAAACTGAAAATAACCGTGGTTTGTGAAACAAAGCCAAAAAGTGTCTCTCTCTCTATATATCTTTCAGATGGCCACATAGCGAACATAAACCTCGGGGACAACTTTAACTTCTACATGATCCAGGGCCTGCACTCAGCCTCTGAGTACACCATCACCATCAACCCCATATTTGGAGACGTTGAGGGGCCCATCACCAGCACCAAACTCAAGACATGTAACTAGCACTTGTATAAAATAAATTAAAAATACATGTACATGGTTACAGTTTTAAAGACCCATACAAGATTAGATGAAGATGTCCTTCATGTCTTTCTTTGTCTCAGTGGAAAGCAGCGCAGTACAAACTTTGAAGGTGTCTGCTGTGAGCACCAGTACTGCTGTCATCTCATGGAACAGTGTCCCAGGGGCCACAGGGTACAGACTGGCCTGGGGACCCACTCCAGGTGAGTCACTTTCTCTCTTTGTCAGCCTTCATGTTTTTGCTTTTGACACCATCAAAGTACCTGGTTGTTCTAGTGATACATCAGATTACTCTCGGGTATATAAATGATCTCAATACAAAAACGTATCCAGTTATCGAGAGTACGTGTATGCATGCGTGTCCATGTTTGATTCTAATACTGATATGCTGCCTTTCTACCAGCGACAGACTCACTCTAACAAAAGCTTTTGAAATGTCCCTCTTTTACACTAGACACTTCTGCCACAGGGATATGACAGGTGGCATTGCGACTAACCCTGATGAAATACAAATGTTAGGGTCAACAGAGGAGGATGTTTTTTTCCAGAGGCTTTAATGCTGAGCCAGATCTCATAGGAATGCCTGGACAGCGAGCAATAATTAAAGGCAAGAAGAGTGATGAGAATGTACTGTGATTCATCATATTGTTTCAGAGTTTGTTGGTCGGGATCGTCCCAGGCAGTTGGCTCTGAACGGCAGCACCACAGAGTACCAGATGAGGAATGTAGCCCATGATACTGAGTATGTGCTGTCTCTCTATGTGCTGTTTGGTTCTGCGGTGGGGCCTGGTATCAGTGCTACCTTCAGAACCTGTGAGTATTCAATATGTCTATTACCTACCACGAGTACTCCTGACATTTACAATTGGTTTTCTTGACCCTTGCAAAATATACACATTTGTATTGTACACCATAATAACAATAATAATAATAATAATTATTATTTCTTTTAAGGCATTGTTTTCTTCTCTCCTGTGCCACAAAACTCAAGTAGCATTCTGAAGTCTGTGTCTTTTCCCTGCATGGGCATCATTCATGTTAGGATTATTTATTAAAATGCCTGGATGTAAGTTTAAAGTTTTTAAAGAGTAACTTTACACTAGCTGTGGTGTCTCCAGTGCTTTGGAACATCCTGGAGTGCACTTCTGTCACTGCAGCAGATTAGAAAGTTAAACCACTGGAGGTCAGCAAATACAAGATGTTCAGCTACTTAGAGTTCCTTTTAAAGAAGCCCAGTCAAATTGACATAAGAGAAAATATATTAAAGAGCAACTTAAACTCAGCCATAGCAGAAACGTACATAAACGCTAGTGGCTGGTTCTATTGAGAAACTCTCAGGCCAATATGTGTGGTAAATGATAGGAACTCTTAAAGAGAAACATTAGAAAGAAAATAATGAATCTACATTAGTTGTCATCTTTCTGTTGCACATCATCGATGAAAACATGTCCTGTATTAAAAACAAACTGATACAGGTTATTCATGTTCCATTTTCCTCAGCTCCATTGGGCTATGTTTCCAACTTCAAGGTGTCTTCCTACACCAGTACCTCCATAGATATGGACTGGAGTCCCATAGTTGGAGCCACTGAATACAAACTCTCTTGGAACACAGGTGATATATTTACCCATCTGTTTGATCTGTATTTAGGTGTTTTCACAAGTCAAACAAACTTTCTCTTTATTTAATTTGTCTAAAAAAGTCAATAGGAATGTGGAAGTGACAGAAATATCCCACTCAGTAGGTAATATTGTGTATGTCCCCGCATGCTTGCAGGTGATGGCAGCCCTCAGTCACATTACCTGGACCGCACTGTCCTCACCCATCGTATCGAAGACCTAAACCCACAGTCCATCTACACCATCAGGATCTGTGCCATGTATGGCAACTCAGAGGGACCAGAAATCTCTTTATCTCAGCTCACAGGTACAGGAAGAGATGTCTTACAGTTTATTTGAATTGATCATGATCCATCTTAAGATCTAAATAGGTCTCTGCAGCTGTGCACCCCATTGTTATTAAATGGGAAGGACGGTGAAATTCCGCATCCCGTGTCCGGCCCCTCTTGGTGTCTTTATTTGACTGACAAGTCATATACTTTGGTGTTCCCATTTAACCACAGCTGAAATGTCACTTGCAGTATGTGTCACTGAGTAAAAGGCAGCAAAGCTGCTATCATTTTATCACTGTCACTGTCAAAGCTAGTGTGTTACACCAAGGTTCAATTGCTGAGTTTATTACACTGACAAATGATAGGGTGTGTGAATAAAATCGCAGCGGCTCATTGAGCTCAAAGATTTCGGATTACTTCAAATGTGATAATGTTTTTACCTCATGCTTCATGATTTGGAAATAATAAGGAGGTAAATGTGATGTTTGTTTTGATTATTTTGAACATGGTTATTGATGTTTTTACTCAGCTGCTGTCTCAGACTCACAGCAAATCCAGGCAGTGAGGGAGGTGAAGGTTGTGGACATTGGAGTCAACGCCTTTACTCTGTCCTGGAAAAAAACACAAGGGGCATCTGGGTACAAAATCTCCTGGACCCCCTTCATGGGTAAGAACATAACAGTCAACCATGTGCTTACAGTCTTACACCCTGATACCCACATACTGTGAGACTTACTGACTTATTTAAGCTGGATTTCCAAAAAAAGACATCTCTGGCAAATAACAAAATATTACATTTTATTCGCTGGATATATAAAACATTGCTTGAATAATTGCATCCTTTTACAATCAAAACTAATTGTTATTACCAGTTTGCATAATTAGTAATTATTGGTAACAGCTGAAATATCACCATTTGAACTCCTGTGGCTGATTGCAATAGGGTTTTAACTATAATTGAGCACACAACAGTATTGTTTTACACTCTCATTATATCCACATGTTGGCTTTTCTTATTTCCTGCTCTAGGGGGTGATGAGAAGTCCCATGTGGTATCTGCTTCTTCCACCACTTTCAACATCGACAATCTCCGGGCGAGCGCAGCTTACAAGATCCAGGTATCCTCCATGGTGGGCCGCAGGGAGGGCAGCCCAGTCCTGCTCACTGCACGCACCTGTGAGTCCCGTCTACCTAAACCAGTGAGGAACAGAATGACATGTGTCAGAGATTTCAGGGATTGGTAACAATACCAAACCCAAAATGATAGTATTTATTTGTCAAAAGTATAAACCGCCACAGTTTTCACTCCAACTTTGAGGATTTGTTGAGGGGATAATGGTTGTTGTTTTCAGGGGATATACTGACAAATGGATTGCTTGCAAGTTTCATTATTTATTCTAGACTATGTGTCCACTTACCTGACAACTATCCCTATGAGTTGAAAATATTTGTTGACTGTCCTGACTTTTTCTGTTATTGATGTTTCATTTGTTTTTCTGTTTCAGTGGATCTTCCAAAAGTGAATGGCTTTGCTGCTCTGAACACTACAGACAGCAGCACTGTACTAAACTGGACACATGTGGCTGAGGTCTCTGGATACCTTCTCTCCTGGAGACACATCTCAGGTCAGACAAAGTTTTCCACTTAATTTAGCATCAGGGTTAACCAAAACAGGTTTATTCCGTACTGTCTAAATGTTATTGCATTGTGAATTGAGCCCTGTGATAAGCACTGCTTTGTTTAACAGTTTGTCAATTCGATCGTTTGAATAAATTCCAAGAACTTTATGAATCCCTTTTGTGTATAATTATGTGTTTTGAAGGTTGTTTAGGGTTTAAAGTGGACATTTAGTATGGCACATGTTATTGCAATGTGTATTGAGTCTCCGCATAAGTACTCTTTTGTTAAAAAGGGATATATAAAGAAAAACATTTTCGAAACTAATAGTCCTGCTTTATTATACATGCAGACTTATATAAGCTCACTTTTTTTTTGAGTGGTCTCTATTGTAATAAAAATATGATATTTGTAAGTTATGTTCCTTTTGACTAAAATACATTTAAATAGGGAGGCAATATTCCTATTCCTGGAAACTAAATGAACAGACTTGTTTTTGTCTTCACAGTGTTGGAGACTAAAACAGAGACCCTGAGCCCTGGTTTCAACTCCTATAAGATCAATGACTTGTTGTATGGAAGAACCTATATTTTTACCATCAGACCTTTGTATGGAGAAGTGGAGGGCCCTATAAGCACTGTGTATCAGAAAATATGTAAGACATCATTTCAATGGTCTGCATAATCCATAAACCTCTTTCTGTTTGCTACAATACTGTATTGATTCCACAGGATACACTTACACTAAATGTATGTTTATATTTTTCTCTACTCAGTTAAGTATCAGTTGTTAAAGTTAAATAACACTTTTATGGAACAGAAGAGTATGATCACATTTCTAACAATTATTTTTGATACATTTTTGTATCAGTGATGTTGTCTCTCTGTTCATCTCAGTGGGAGAGGATCCTCCGGCTGTAATAGTCCAGGCTCTGCCAGCCACAGCCCCCCCCCGCATCACGACTGCCTCCATCAGCGACACTACAGTTGCTCGCACTGCCAGCAGGACCACCCGGCACCCCATCGCTGTACCACCGACTAAACCCATTACCCCCAAGAAACCTCCAGGTCAGCCAAGAGTCACTGAGGCCAAATCAGAAGTCCCCCTCCATCATTTAACCACACTCCATGCAGAGACAACAGGTCCACCAAGACCACGTATGCTTTATTCATACATAGATATTGCTTAAGTTGTATATTCGTTAGCAGGACTAAAATGATCAAGTGTGTATACAGTTTGTAAATGTTCACATCGTGTAAGATCTCATCATTTTGTGTTTTATCAGCCTGTGGTAAAGCCAAAGCAGACATAGTATTCTTGGTGGATGAGTCCTCCAGCATCGGCGCTAACAACTTTATCAAGATGAAAGACTTCATTTTCCGGGTGGCTACCTACTTCCCTATCATGGGCCCTCAGGGCACACAGGTTGGTCCCTCAGTAAATACTTCCTTTATTTCAGCTTGTTCTGGCTTCACTATGGTATGAATCTTTGACTGTATGTTTTTGAGTGTTGCAGGTTAATTACAGACTGGATTGCCATGATTTTAAATGATAATAGATGATGCAAGTTAGCAATGTGTTATAGTGAGTCTCTGGTACAAAATAGCACCATTAGCAAGACCATAATATGCAAATGTTTTCATCAAGTGGGTTGAAATACATTTCCGAAAAGATCAACAAGGCACAATGCAACATGGCAAGTAAAGAGTAGAAGCCAAGGAATATGTGCCTGCTTCGTAAGCATGCAAATTATGTTTTTTCTCAATATGTAAAGTAGTATGTGAGAGGAGTTGTGTTTTTTATTTACTTTACACTTACATCTTGAAGTCAGACCTCATTCAATTTAGATTTTGTTATAATGATTTTATGTTTTTTCCTTCAGATAGCTGTGGTTCATTACAGTGATGAGCCTCGAATAGAATTCCGCCTAAATGACTTCAAAGACAGGAACTCTGTGCTCAGGGCGCTCAGAGGGCTACGGTATGGAGGGGGCAACACTAAAACAGGTTAGTGACACTCACACAAATGTGCACACTACTTTACACGCCTGTCATCTGAACGCAGCTTCTTATTCCTATAACTCTATTTCTGTCCTGCGCTTGATGACATGTCACCAGCTGCCATGCTGGTGTTGATGGTCCTGCTTCTATATAGGAGTAGTTATAATGACTGCTGACGTATGTGTTCCAATTAATATTGCAGAGATGAATACTTTAGGTATCAGCAATTAAAAGTGAGGACCAATTTTGTGTCAAACTCTTGTAGAGTTGGGAACCCTGAGAGTTCAATTAACTTAAGAATTACAATTTTATAATTGAATAAAAAAATACGTAAATGTAATTACCTTGTTAATTAGAATTAGTCATTGCTGTTTATGAAAGCTAACAACCTACCTATTGAGCCTTGCTTTTCGATTATTGAAATTTACATAAATAATGGCCCAAATGATTTATTGTATTATAATCATGTTTTAAAAATGTTTTGTTTCTTATCTGGTTTTATTTTATTTTATAGTTTGTACTTTTGGTAGTTATAACACAACTTGTGTATCTGTTTATATTGAGATTTTTTGTCTCAGACATCTGTAATGTTTTATAAAAGATGCTATAAAAAAACAGTGCTGTTCAGACAAGTACAACTAATCTACCAGCACTTATCATAGTAAATATTCTTCCAAAAGTTTCCTAATTTGCTCTTAATACTTTTGTGTACCCTCAGGAAAAGGCATCAGTTACGTCCTGCAGGAACTGTTCCAGGAGTCCTTGGGGATGAGACAGGATGTGGCCCATGTTCTGGTTCTGATTACGGATGGCAGGGCTCAGGATAATGTGGTGCCACCCTCAAGAATTGCACGTGCTCTAGGTAAGTTAACGTGTTGTACATCCTCCATAAATGTGAAGCTAATCATTTTTACTGTAGCAAAAAATTGTAAACCAGTTTGAAATCATAGAAAATGTCATGTTCTTACTTTGTGTCTCTCTAGGTGTCAGTGTCCTGGCAGTTGGAGTTTATAATGCAGACATGGAGGAGCTGAATAAGATAGCAGCTCCCACCAGCTACAAAAATATCTTCTACTCACCGACCTTTGACGACTTCCCCTCCATTGAAAGAGAATTCATCAATATGATGTGTAGTGAGGAACTTCTCTCCGAGTTCAAACTGAATGATGAGGCAAGACATGAAAAAACTAAAATGTTGCCTTTATCATTATTTCAATCAGGAGAGACGTGATGTATGGAATACATATTTATTATCGGTCACATTATATAAATGAAACATAATGATGACAGTTTATAACAAGTGAATGAAATGGTGTTTTGGCGATTAGGCCCAGGTTTTGTAGGATATCAATCGGGAAGGGAAGAACCGTTTCCGATGAACCCCCCTGGGTCTAGACACTGGTGGTGGTGATAAGTGGTTAGGTCCGGTTGGAAGGGAGAAGGTTAAGCTTGGCCCTGAGTTGAAAGCAGGAGGCGAAGGGGTGGAGGAGGGTTGCGCGTTGACACCTGGAAGACAGCTGATAGGAAAGGGGAGAGCATATATAGAGGGATTAACAGGTGCGATAATTAGGCTTGTAAATGGCGGGGAGTGATAGGTTAGCTGAGGAGTGGCGCTCCCTGTCATTTAGTGCAGGGAGCGAGTATTGCCATGACGTGCAATACGGAGTAATAGGTCTTCCTGTCTGAACTTGTGCTAAGCTTCATTTCCATTCTTTCATTGTACGCTTAGTTTTATTCATGCGTGCAATGAAGCCAAACTCTACAATTGGCCAAAATGTGTTTAAGGTGATACTCATTTACTAAAGTGGCACATGTAAAATGAATGAAACATGTGTAGGCAACTTGGTATCACGGCAAGACGTGAACATGTGACGATTTACCATGCTGGGAGACGTGAAGATGTCACAATTTCGTCCCTTCAAACCTGACAATTACACGATATTGTTAACATGGCCCAACCAGTGGAGATATACCCGGAAATGCCAAGCAAATGCTACCCCGACGGTCGGTTGTTATTGTCAATACTCAATATTAATATAATAATGATTTATATTTTAATAGTCACACTCGATTTCGCCGATTTCCTTGTTGCAGCTGCTCGACACCTCTTTTAGCAGAAACAAAGGCTACATTAATGTATTAAATCGATGTTAATCCATGTGTGTGGATGTGGAATTAACGGACGTGACGTTGTGCGATTGCGTTGCCAGGCAACAGCTTCGGTTCATGTTAATTTACAAACTCTTCAACTAGAACCGTAGTTATATTTAAAAACATTTTAGAAGGCCTCACGATATACTTTAATGAACATTTAAATTTAAATGTGAAGGAATGTGTGTATAACAAAATACATCCGTCATTAAGAATACCGGAAATAGACGTAGGCAAGATCCTCAGCTCGGTGATTCGATGGTTTAGCCGCAATGCATGTTGGGAAATGGTGTTAATGCGATGTGAAATCCGAAAACATTTTTTTAAAATAAAATAATACTTTATTCCGAGTTTGCTTGCTTTTCTCTTTGGAGGTCATCACATAACGGCATTGTAATACACGGTTCGGCTGCATTAAATATCACATATCTGCCGTAGTTCTCTATTTATAGAGCCCTGATGAGAAGACTTCTAGACAAACAGGAAGAACTGCCGCCAAAACTGAAAACGTGACGTGGATCATAAATATATCAGCAATTAAACAACATCTTACATTTCTTTTCACACAATACGTCTCCTTGCAGTATCAACACTAATTCGGCTGACTTTTATATTTGATCCAATTGGTAGATAGGCTGTATTTACACCATAACGGTGCACAGCTGATAGAAAGGGACACCTAGTGGTTAAAGCACGTTATTGAATTTCATTATTTTATTATCACAAAAATTAAACCATCAATAGCAAAAACAGAATTAACTGTCATTAGTAAACCACTCAAATAAAAATATCATAAGTGGTTTTGTTTTACATATATTTTAAGGATAATAATAGCAATGTAACACTGTCTATGACACTTATAACACTTATTTGAAAAACATACAGAAAAAATGAATTCACTGCCCTTAATAAAGTATTTAAATATACATTTCAGGTGTGCTGTTTTGTTTAGATAATTAACATCTGGAGCTCTTTTAATGTCCTTTTTGATTATTGTTACACCAGGTCTTGTCAAAACCTTTATTCCATATTCAATATCCATTACTAAACAAAACAACAATTCTACTCCACTACAATTCAGAGGTTAAGCTGGTATTTTTACTCCACTACATTTATTTGAGTTACTTTGCAGATTCTGATTAATGATGTGAAATATAAACAACCCTTAAATCAGGCTTTAGTTACACCTGAGTAAAATTCAGGGAAGGTGATTGTCAAATGATGCCAACAATCAGGCGAGATATTTGATAGTTGGTGCTTCAGAAGACTAAACATTTATCTGCAGATCCCTATAAAGTATATTCATTACTCGTTATTCTCTACTAATAGTTCATTAAAGACTATATAATGGCTATTTTGCACACCCCTTTCAAGATTTCAAGATTTTCTAAGGTTTATTGACACATCATATACACAACTAATTCAATAACGTGCTTTAACCACTAGGGCGACAGAAAGGTATATCCGTAATTTAACAGTAAGCTATTGAAATTCTGAATCCATAGATTTGTCTCCCATCACCCAAAACCCCTGACTATTCTCTCAACTCAGTATTTGCATTCTTATATTCAAAGAAAATCAGTAATATCTTTAAAAACTACAAGTCCTTTTCTATCAGCTGTGCACCGTTATGGTGTAAATATCACCTATCTACCAATTGGATCAAATATGAAAGTCAGCCGAATTCGTGTTGATACTGCAAGGAGACGTTTTGTGTGAAAAGAAATGTAAGATGTTGTTTAATTGCTGATTGCTTATGATCCACGTCAAGTCTTCTCATCAGGGCTCTATAAATAGAGAACTACGGCAGATATGTAATATTTAATGCAGCCGAATCGTGTATTACAATGCCGTTATGTGATGACTTTCAAAGAGAAAAGCAAGCAAACTCGGAATAAAGTATTATTTAAAAAAAAAAAAATCGGATTTCACATCGCATTAACACCATTTCCCAACGTGCATTGCGGCTAAACCATCGAATCACCGAGCTGAGGATCTTGCCTACGTCTGTTTCCGGTATTCTTATGATGGATGTATTTTGTTATACACACATTCCTTCACATTTAAATTTTAAATGTTCATTAAAGTATATCGTGAGGCCTTCTAAAATGTTTTTAAATATAACTACGGTTCTAGTTGAAGAGTTTGTAAATTAACATGAACCGAAGCTGTTGCCTGGCAACGCAATCGCACAACGTCACGTCCGTTAATTCCACATCCACACGCATGGATTAACATCGATTTAATACATTAATGTAGCCTTTGTTTCTGCTAAAAGAGGTGTCGACCAGCTGGGGCAACAAGAAAATCGGCGAAATCGAGTGTGACTATTAAAATATAAATCATTATTAATATTGACAATAACAACCGACCGTCGGGGTAGCATTTGCTTGGCATTTCCGGGTATATCTCCACTGGTTGGGCCATGTTAACAATACCGTGTAACTGTCACGTTTGAAGGGACGAAATCGTGACATCTTCACGTCTCCCAGCATGGTAAATCGTCACATGTTCACGTCTTGCCGTGATACCGGGTTGTGTGTAGGAGAGGTTCTCAACCCCCTCTGGAGTTGGTCATGCATGCATGGTGACAACTTATTACATTAAACCCATGTAATCAGTTTTTTAATTGACTCACAACAGACTCTGTAGAAACACTTTAATGGTCTTGACTTCATCTTGATGTAAGAGCTTTGGATGATGTTACGCAGCCATCCCTACCAATTCATTCTATATTATGTCGATTTCGTCATGAAATATTTGACCAATCAGTAATAAATTCCTATTTCCTTGTGTCTGTTTTCAGTCTGCTCAGTTGGACACCCCGACTGAAGACCCAGAGGAGCTGCTTAAGCCTCAGGGTCCCTGTTCCTCCCAGTGTATGAAGGTTGGTCCTCACTTTCAAAATCAATGTTATAATCATTATCATACTCAATCAAATGTTTGAGAGGGTACAAATAACAACAAGAAAATATAAATACACGTAGATATTGGTATTGCATTTGGTTAAAAAACTATTAAACAGCAGAACAATCTGATTTTATTTAATTTGCAATCTGGTTTTATATTTACTGATAGGTGCACATTTGATCTGAGCTTCTCGTGTTAACAATGGATGATAAATGACCTCTTCTCATGATTGAACTATTGATCATATCATTTTTTTTGTTATCCAGGGCCAGAAAGGTGAACGGGTGAGTAAAAATGTGTTTACCTTTAAATTGATTTAGAAAGGCTCGCAAAGTAAGTGTTATTTATTTTCCTTCTCTCATTCTTTCAGGGAGATGGTTCTGGTGTCGGAGGTCTGGTATGTATTATCAAGTTTTCTTTTCTACTTTGTGGTATCTGTTGAGTGATAATACTTTGCTGCACCTTGGACGTTTAAATTCTCTATCCATTGTACCCTCTGTCCTAATATACCCGTATTGCTTTTTATTTAATCTATTTTCTTGATTATTAACCTTGAGAATAACTTGTAGTCTTTGTGTTGTTGTGTAGAGATTTAGGCAAAGCCCGGGACAGTTTGATCCTTTCACTTCTACCAAAGGAGAGATGGGAGAGAGGGTAAGAATCAACTTAGACACACAAATATGTGTGCTGCTCCTCTAGCTTGGAACACTATGCATTTTTTTTTTTAAACTGAGCATTTTGGTTCCCTTGCATCATGTTAAAGCTCGGATAGATGAAATGTTATTAGATATCTGTCATTGTGAATAGGTTGCTAATGTATACCCCTGTAATTATGTTGTATTGAAGTCCTTTTTGTTTTCTGTTGTTTTTATGTGTAACCAATGTGCTGCAGGTCTCCCTTGAAAAAGAGATCGTTGATCTCAATGGGATTTTCACCTGGTTAAATAAAGCTACAAACAACAAAATACACAACAATACACTCTACCATAATTCTCATCATTTATTGTCAAATCCCATCTGCTGTCTTGTTGCTTTGTCTATTATACATTTTATTATGTATGAAGCATGAATGTATGTCAACAATATTAAAATATGGTTTAAATTACTCTTTCATTTTGACTGCATCCTTTCTTATAACCCTGCTATGAAAACTTGAATTTGACAGGGGCTTTCAGGAACAGATGGTATACCTGGGTTGCCAGGACGACCAGGGAGAACTGGACCACCCGGTTCTGCCGGCCAACGGGTAACCTAATTCAGAAAAATAAAAAAAACAATTTTAAAATCTATTTTATTTATCTCAATGGCAGTCTGAAAATTATATTTTTCCTTTTTTCAGGGAGCTCAAGGGATATCAGGTGATCTGGTAAGACCGATATGAAAAAAACATTTATGAGACGAAATCTTATGTCTGCTGGCTAAAAATCCGATCATACAACTTTGATGTCCTGCCTTTGGATGGAGACCTGGAACTTAACTTAAAGGGGACCTATCATGCTAAATGCACTTTTGTACATCTTTTACACATGAATATGTGTCCCCGGTGTGTCAGGGAACTCACCAAGTGTCAGAAAACACAACCCTCTCTCTTTTCCTCCATACCCAAATCTCTAAAATCGGGGCTGCAACGGAGCTGATTATTATTTTGAATTTTTCTGACGTCAGAAAAGGGGTGCTCCGCCTATATGGGCAACCCTCCACCTATCAGGGGAATGAGAGACCGCTCAAAAGCGCTGGAGACGCTGTAGTACATATGCCAGGCCTGTAAGTGGTGCTGTAGTCTGCCACAAAAGCAGAATCAGCCCTTGCAAAAACAGGGCTGGAAAAGAGCAAATAGAGCGAAATGAGGCATGGCTAAAATGCATGATCTGTTTGGTATTTTGAAAAAAAAACTTCACAGACATGTTTTATATAGGTATGGCCCTAAAAATATATGTTTCAAATATAGCATGATAGGTCCACTTTAATTTAACAGCAGATTTATGAATATGCTATACAAATGATTTGATTTCTATTAAAACGGGTGAAAAATGGGGGTGACGTGCACAAGAGAATGTGATTACTTGACATTGGTATCAGAGAATCTCGGAACCACCGGGACACCTCACCCTTAAACATTTCAATGTTCTACATACAAAATAATGAACTGTTCAATATTATTTGTATGAATGTCCAATGATCACTTTCTCGTGTTTCTTTCCATAACAGGGTCTACCTGGAACCACTGGTCCAAAGGGACAGAGAGGAGAGAGAGTAAGTCTAACATCTGCATTTGATTTAGACTGATTGCTTTCTGCTGAGACTTGAGATCATGATACAGTCGTCTGCTGGATGTATAAACTTGTGCAAAATGATTCAGGTGCTTCAACAACAACACAGGATGGAACTGATTGGTTGCTTATCCCCTTTTTGTGTGTTTCTATTAGGGAGAGCCCGGTTATGTCATCGCAGGCGCAGACTCAAATTACGTTCCTGGAAGGAAAGGAGAGCCAGGATCTTCGGTGAGTGCTCAAAAAACCATGTTTTGGAGTTTTACCACAGTGAAGTTAAGGGGAACTTAAATATTATTCACTGCATATCGTAGGGTCCCCAGGGGTCTTCTGGTATACCAGGGATCAATGGATCTCCAGGCCGTCCTGGCCAGCCCGGACCAACGGGGTCACCAGGAATATCTGTCAAGGTAATGTGGATCAGCTTCAAAATTCAAAGTAAAAATAAAATCTGCACAATGTGCAAACTGTGAACACTACCACAATATAACCTGTATCTTCATCATGATGATTCCAAAATATTTTAAGTATCATATTACATCTTGTAATGTCAGACCCACCTACAGTGTTCATTACCTTACATAACATTACATTTAGTTTAGCTGATGCTTTTATCCAAAGTGATTTACAATAACTGCATTCAACCGTGAAAATAACAACTCAATAAAGTTGGAATTCTGCAGGTGCATTAGCTATCAATACTCTGTATAGAGTGTCACAAAATGTCTAATCGCAGTTGCTGTCCGCTCTTTGTAGGGAGATTCTGGTGAGCCGGGAGAGAAAGTAAGTATGATGCTGTTATTCATCCCTGTACTATCCTTATTAAAAGGTTGCACTAGAATACTTAAATAACAGCATTCATTTCATGAATCATAAACATCACCCACATTTACATATTTACTGCCTCAGAATCAGATGTTACCAGGTATGAAAAGTTATTTGTTTAATTTCCATCTGATAACACTTCCATTATTTTCGAAAGGGTTTACGTGGGAAACAGGGAGTGAAAGGAGACAAAGGAGAGTTGGGAAGAGATGTAAGTGTGTTGTTGATAAAATTATTAGAAGTGGTATAAGACATTGCATATCTACATTTTAAGATCATTCTGAATTTCCTTCTGAAAATATTTTCTCTCTCTGTTTCTCGCTCGCCGTCGCTAACACACACAATCTGATGACACACACACACACACATTCAAACTGCTGTAGGGTATTGCAGGTTTGCCAGGTCCCATTGGCATTGATGGGGTGCCAGGATTGTCAGGTCAGAAAGGGGAGAAGGTAAACGTTTGCTTGATAAAGGAAATTACACATTTTCAACCAGTCTACTAAAAAAATATGATAAGGCGACTGAGTAACTAGCTTTATAAATATTCATTTTTTTCCAGGGTGTAGAAGGAATTGGCATACAAGGTATTCAGGGTCCTCTGGGAGAGAAGGGAGAGAAGGTAAAGAATATATAATTTGTCATGGTTATGAAATTAAAAGGTTTCTGTTCAGTGTCCACAGCCTCAATATGAAATCCCTATTGTTTTACAGGGAAATATTGGCTTTACTGGACCAGTTGGTCCAAAGGTAACAAACATGAAAGAAACATTTGAACCCTCAGAATTTGAAATGTTTAAATTAAAATAAAACATTTGTAATTTGTGAATTACTTTAAAGGGTGATCTTGGCGAGCAGGGCATCCAAGGAATCATCGGACCTCGGGTTTGCATTTCATCATTATCTCCTGTTGCATAATATGCATTGAGTTTCTGCATGTTTTACCTTCAAATTCATAGAAATCCAGTCTAATTAGATAAAAACCTGTTTAATTGAGGGTGATTATTTGAAAGGATCTATGCTGAAAGAATTCAGAGGCAGTTATTTATTTGTACCTACAGGGAAAGAAGGGGTTCAAAGGGGAGCAAGGTGACAAGGTGAGTTCATCCCACACACATGGGCGCTCTTTCTTCATTAAGCTGAAAATAATCACTTTATAATTAACATTCTCAATTTAACTCAGCCAGGACTTTATAATTGTCTAATTAAAATGTACGTCATACCAAAATAATGATGTTTGCACGTGAACGTGTGCATGCATGTGCGTGCAGTTTTCAATGTAAAGTACATGTTTTTTGTATCTTTTAGGGAGAACGAGGCGAGATAGGACCAATAGGACCAAAAGGAACCTCAGTAAGTGAAGATTAAATCTTGAAAATACAGAAATATACAAATCTTGTTGAAGCTTGAGGTTGCATATTGTATTAATACAGAATATTAAAAATAAATACTTATATATTTAGATACTGCCTGCACTGGAACGTGACATCATTTCCCACTAAACCACTATAATCTACTGGTCAAAATCGACTTTAATTTAACTGTACATTTATTCAGGACCAACTGGGACCGAATGATTAGAAATGCCAGCAATACCCTATTTGATACGTTATTTCTCCATACAAAGATTTGGATGATGATATAAATCAGCAAATGAGGAAGCAATTTTGTTCTGCATTTTTTAAGATTTGCCCTATCAGAGATGGTTATGATTACATTCGATCATGTGCCAAATGTTCAACCCTCAGTGAGTATCATTATCAAATGGGCCAAATTGTCCTGCACCGTTGGTTTTTAATTTTAGGCAGCGTAGTCCTTTTCGAAGCGACAATCACAAAAACATGACGTCATGAGGTCCATTATCCTATCTTCAGTTGTGTTTTTTTTACACAAAAAGTTTAGCTAAGAAAAAAACAGCAGCTAAGAAAGTGTTAACAGATGATAGCAGGGAGTGATGGTTAATGTTTAAAGGGTATTTTAGTTTTATAAATGCTAAAAATAATTAGAGAATAACAAATATTTGTATTTCAGGGACTGACAGGGCCTTTGGGGTTAAAAGGAGATGAGGGTCCGAGAGGAGTCCCTGGAGATCCTGCCAAGGGTGTAAGAACAATATTTAACTCATTTAAACTTTAGAAAAAGAAGCATTTAATAATCACACACTTTATTTTGCAAACAGATAATTGGCCCAACTGGAAAAAAGGGTGCAAGGGTAAGTAACCAACTTCATTCATTCAGTAAAATGCTTTTCTGTGGCAGCATGCATCGCTTTGTTTCTATATTTGTACACACCTCTATATATTTTCAATTCAATAATATTTGTGCTGGATGAGCTGTGTATATTTAAATGTTTGCCTCCACCTACTGAGCTTTCGCTCCACCAATACAATTCCACTTGGCTTCATGAAATATGTGCATAATAAAAGGTTATTATTAAAAGTCTAAGAAAGAGAAGAGTCTTACTCCCTGGAACGTTTTTTTTTTTTTCAACATATTTAAACTGGCAGCATGATCAAACCTTGGTGAATTTGCCACAGTCATAAATGTATGTCAAAACATAGTATTTATAACTGGTTTAAAATAAGTTATTCAGCCAGAGGGAAGTGATTCTCTTAATGTTTTATTCTGTCGGGACATTGTTAATTAATTGGTCGGGGTATTCTTGCACACTCAGACTCAGTCGTCTGGGTCTGCTTATCAAACACAATTAAGATTTTCTCTCATTAGCTTTTGAAGTGGGAATGAACGCTCCACTGAATGGGACCTCTTTAATGTCGGTCCACAGGGTGCCATTTAAAGTGAAGAGCTTTGTTTTGAAACTGATGATTGGCCTGGTGACGAGAATCACATTGATTGACGTTTCTTGTATGTGTGTTCATATCTTCTGCTTTGTGTCAGGGAGACATCGGTCCAGTCGGCCCTACAGGCCCCCAGGGAATAAAGGGTGAACAAGGCACCAAAGGGGATAAGGTTAATAATGAAAAATACTCAGCATCATGCTTTCATTTTTTATTTCTGTATTTTGTAATTTGTCTTATTCACTGATACTAGGACAGACTAATAGTTGTTTAGTAAACTACATTCATAGGTATGATTTGTTTTGATGTGTTCAGGGCAGTCCTGGTTTTGGGATTCCAGGACAGCGGGGACCCAAGGGAGAAAATGGAGAGAGGGTGAGTCACCTGATAAGTTAAATGACTTATTCAACATTTACACATTGTTATCATAATACTGAAACAGAAAACAGATGTTTATTGCTATTATATTTATGTGTTTATCAATTACAGGGAAATGTTGGTTTGTCTGGAAAACCAGGACAAAAAGTAAGTGAACCCTGACTACCTGCTTAGAGCTCTTATTCAAATGTGTATATTAACAATGACACAAATGACTATGTGTGAGGTGAAAACGGTCACTAGTAATGAAATACACAGATAATTATTGCCCTACTTTGCAGGAACCCTAAAGCTTACAAGTTTAAAAGTATTTTAGCTTTTTAAGATTTAGCTGTTTTAGTTCACTTCACTAGTTGCATCAACCTTGTTTACAGTCACAGCAGCTGTTTTCAACCAAAATATGGTGGTTGGAGGAGACCAAAACATAAATAGGGGTTTAAATTAGACTTGTAATAGTCAAATGTCCGGAAACATGACTCCAAATGATGATCCATGGTTGCTTTCGAATTGTCAGTTTAGCTTAGGAACCTTCCTAACGGAGTGAAATGATGCGGAAGTACCTCAGTGGCAGTCATGATAAGAGCTTTTCGAATTCTCTAGTCTAGATGATAGGAAAGGAGCTTTGAAACTTCTTTTATAGCCCCCTTTAGCTTAGGAAACACTGGACCTTCCTTTACGAAAGGAAAGGAGAAAATGCTGTCCCACAATACCTTGCGGCCGCAACTTTTACCGTGACACAACATTCGGCCGTTCACGCAAACAACCGATCGTGACCAAGAAATGCGTATCATGAAATAACTAAAGTTGAAAAGTAGCTAGGTGCGCTTACAGCAGTCCTCTGTACAGAGATCTGTAGTCTCCCCACAGCAGACACACATTGATAACAACCGCTTGCGCATTACAAATACATCGATAGTGTAAGTGCCGTCGGATTCTCTTGAAGCCCGGTCGTCTTTTCCTAAGTCCTTTTGAATTCTCCTAACCACTATTCCTTAAGCGCCTGACGTTTCACACAGAGGTCAAGGAAGAGTCGATAGACAAAGACGATAGGAGCTGATTTTTTGACAATTCCACCGCAACCCATGTCTGCTCAAGAGATGTAAATGCTGTTTTCGACTAAAGGCGCCCCCTAGTGGCTAAAAAAATGCCGGTCTTTAATTCGTTTTATATAATGAATGTTGTGTGTTCTGGTAAAAGTCCATTGCAACTATAAAAAAAACCGAAACCTACTTAATTGTTTACTGAAGTTGTTAATGTGTCTAAAACAGAAGTCATGTGTTTGTCCAGGGGCATGATGGCTTTAAAGGTGACAAAGGGACTATCGGGTTATCCGGCAAACCTGGAGTACCAGGATTAAGAGGTAAAGATGTAAGTAAATCCTGAGTGGCTGTTACAGCATTGATACAGCACAATTCACATTTATTTTACAATCATTTACTTAAAAGGAGACAGCTCAGTATGTTACTTGAAACATAAAACATACAGAATGCGACAAAAGTCCAAACGTATATGTATGTTTTTGCATGGTAATATTGGTGACAATTACTGTTGACTTTGTGTCTAGGGTACACCTGGAAATAAAGGAGACGAAGGCTCTAAGGTACAGTCATGTTTACTTGGTGCTTTGGTTTGTTTTGATGTAGCTGTTTCTCAGGAGTATATGTACTACATATAACAGCTTTAAATAATTACATTGCTTTGACTTCACAGGGTGAACTAGGACCACATGGAGAGCCTGGTGACAGAGGAATTAGGGTATTTATATTGTGTTTTCTAACATTAAAGGCAGAAATATACTAAAAGATGAAAACGTGTAGATCGGCCAATCAATATACCGACATTGTCACTTAATCAGTACATTTGTTATGTAATATTTTAATAAGATTTGCTGTTTTATATTGCCTTTCCATTTCTCTTAATTTTCAACCCCATTTTCAGAGCTCTTATGCTGAAGTGTGCCAATTATTATTGTATCTAGTTATATATAGTTAAAGTGGGCTCAAAAATATGTAAGCTCCAAATGTCTGCCAGAACTCCTGCTGAGCAAACATCACATTGCAGCAATTTTACACACATTTGCTCACAGTATGTCATTTGACATGTTTATATGCTCTTTTTAATTCCTCTGTTAATGTTGTTCAGGGTCCACTTGGATTACCAGGACGACCAGGTGACCCCGGTGAAAAAGGAAATTCTGGAACTCCTGGCCTGTTTGTAAGTTCATTCTTTCCATTCATGCACTCGACTCCAACACATTGTATGTGGTAGGCTAAGGGGCGGTACATCTCTAAGCAGTTGACCAATCACAACAGAGCCAGCCAGCTAACCATTCAGAGCAGACTGGGCTCTGGTTTCAGACAGAGGGTGAAAAGAGGTGCTGCAGCACAGGCAGTAGGAGAAAAATAAAGAGCTTTTTGAACATTAAAGAATGGAGACATGTCACAGTAGAGACATTACATACTAATATGAACCTAAACATGTCATGAGATTAATAGGGCCCCTTAAAATTGTTGAAGTTATGTCTCTTCTGAACAAAACCTTAATGATCAGTTTTTTTTGTAGAAAGAATTTCAACATAAATCAATGTAACAATTGAGCTTAAACGCCTTAAATGCCTTATGATAACCATTGATTTCCTTTTTTGTTGAAAGGGTGCTGATGGAAAAAAAGGCGATAAAGGAGATCAGGTTTGTTTGTATTCACCATCTCACTCTCTCTTTCTCTATTGTTTCTCCTTGTTGACGCCTTCTGGTTATTCTTCTGTGTCAGTCACTGTCCCTTTGTGACTTCATGATTTGTATTGTGATATGTTAACTAATTACGTTTAGCTTTTTGTGTGTGCCACCCTTCAGTGCACCTACTATTTCCTCTTTGTGTTGCCAATATGGATTGTGTTTAGCAGTGTGACATGTTAGATTTGTAACTGTGTTTTATTGTGCTCTTCTTTTGATTGTGCTGCCGTTGTCCCACAAAGGGAAAACCTGGACCTCCGGGAGCACAAGTAAACAAACCTCTATTATGTTTTTTGACAGCTTCTTATCAGTTCAGTCATGTTTGACAAAGGCATTGGTGGTAACAAAGCTTATAAAGAACAATAAAACGTCACCCCCTCATAGGACAATAAATGTCTATGACTTTATCCGCTGAAATTGTCCATCAATTACCAAGTTAACTTTTGATTTCTGATTTTGTCCAGATTGTTGGAGACAACAACGTAATGACCAGAGTGATTAAGGTAATTTATAGAATAGCATGCCTTATATTATCCAGTTAACTTGTTTGTTTTTTCATGAGTGAATTGAAGCTTCCCTGCTCTCTTCTTTTCTAATCTTCAGGGTGAACCAGGAAATCCTGGTCAGCCTGGGTTGAGAGGTGAAACAGGTCTGCCTGGACCAAGCGTGAGTATTTTATCACACGTCATATTTCATTTTCAAGTTCAGACGCATGCTGATTAAAATGCACATCGATTGACAGCGCAATCATTCAAATCAGAGCTGAATCTATCAGTCTATTAACTGATAAGCTAGTTGTCAGAAAGTTAATCTGCAAACATTGACATATAATTAAATGTATTTGTTGTATTTGGTAGGAGAAAATAATAATCAAGCTTTCTTGAATGTTTATTTGAATATTTGTTCTCTCTTCTCAGGGTCCAGAGGGGAAACCTGGATTACCAGGACCATCAGTGGTATGTGTGTGCAGCATTTAAATCACATGTATTGTGTGACTGTTTGTTTCTGTGGGGATGTGTATGTGTTAAAATCATGAACTGTTTGCTTTGCAGGGTGGTTCTGGAAGAGGTGGACTTGATGGTTTTCCAGGAAAACCAGGAGATAAGGTTGTACAAACTTTATTACAGTTCTACTTGTATTATTATACAGTTTGAGTTTACTCATAAGATGTTTCATATGTAACTGCAGGGTGACAAGGGATCAAAAGGGGTGCCTAGTCTGGTGAGTGCTCCAATATTGTTTTTGTAATTTTATACTGTTCACACATGGTAGACTTCCCATAAGGGAGATGATTTGCTTGAATGTTTTTATGTGTGCATGTGAACAGAAAGGTGACCAGGGACGGATTGGGATTGGTGGAATACCTGGTTTACCGGGAACTCCAGTGAGTATCAGACTGAATCATGGTGCCTGTGGCTGAAACATGAATAGGATATCCATCCTTAACATGCCTCTAATGGTTATATGAAAGCCAAGATTTCATATTACATTGATGTTTCAGGTGTTAAATTAAATTAGTATGATTATGATAATCAACCTGAAAGATATCTCCAGATATTGTAATTTTCTTAATTTCTTCTTCTCTACAGGGCAGACCTGGCATTGATGGGAAGAGGGGCCTGCCAGGAAAAGATGTAAGGACCATAATTGTCCAACAATTACTACGCTATGCATTATGATACCCACCGTTTTTCTTTTATGCTTAACCACTGAGCTATCAGGCCTATTTTCAGATATTTTAAATGTGTACCTATTTATATTTGAATTATTAAAACTGAAAATGTATTTTAATTTCACAGGGAGAAAGAGCAGAAAAGGGAGATGACGGCAAAAAGGTCCTTTTATTTTACTGCAACCAATTGAAACAATTATGTTTATTAGCTATTTTTTTGAAAACGTGTGTTAACTTTCCTCTCATTCCAGGGGGACAAGGGAGACAGCGGGGGCAATGTAAGTGGTTTTGAGATAAACAAATATACATTTTGTGAGAAAACTGAGTAACTTCAAGGCGTTTTTCTTCTTTCACAGGGTAAAGATGGTAGTAAGGGGGAACCAGGGCCTCCAGGTTTGCCGGGTAGGCAGGTGCTTGTCACATCAGAGGTAGAAATTACTACTTGCAATTTAAATAATTAATAAGCAGGGAAGCTAAAAACCCTAGCAACCTAAACTTTACTGATTGTAACATTAACATTTAACATTGTTCCCAGGGTGCCACCAATGATGAAATCCGAGAAGCATTTCCGATCCCAATGGGTCCTCCAGGAGCTACTGTGAGTTTGATACCTACACTGAACACACTTCAGGATATGTATAGCTTATGAATAATGGCACATTAATTTAGCTATTGCATGGCATGCTTTATCTCTGGCCTCCACGGCATCTGAGTCATCATTTGGCGATGACTGTAGTGCTTTTATTGTGGATTGCAATGAGTCGTGCCCCTATCTGCGAGCAGATATGGCAAGCTTGATGTCATGCATTAGTAGATGCATGTTCCAATGTGTTGCTCCTCTGTGTCTGTGTGTTTAGGGTTCACCAGGAATTAAGGTAAGATGGTCATGCGCTTCATACTGAAACAAAAAAAAAGGAATGTTGGTTGTGTAGCTTATTTGTGTCTTTTGCAGGGTGATAAAGGAGAAACAGGGCTGAAAGGAGAGAAGGTAGTATTTGATTGTTATCCCTCAAAAACATGCAATTAGAGATAAACTACAAATACTATATGCTTTACTGTCTTTCACACTAATGTCTCTGTAGGGCGTTGCTGGAGCTCCTGGAAAATCAATAGAGATGAAGGTGAATACAGGCAGTAGTGATTCCTCCTCTTGGATAAATGTTCTCTTTTTTGCACTTTGAATAATATGTTTTTTCTCTTCTTTAGGAAATTGAAGTGATGTTTGAAGACTATGGCATAAGGGTGAGCTCTGAGAAGGACAACCTCCACATTTTAAGGTTGAGAGAATTTGTAACAGAACACCAGTTTGACCTTCTCAACTATGTTTCTATTTCCTCAGCTGCCTTTGTTGAAGGCTTTAATTGACAGGCTGTTGCAGGATGGAATAGAGGAGCTGCTTCGTGTGCTTGGCACCTCCCAGAAAACAAATGAAAACACAAAAACTCACACCTCCAACATCATCACTGAATACACAGTACGTATACTCAGGGGGAAAAGTGTGTGAGGGGTCTTTAAAAAGTTGAATTCCATGTTGCGCCTTTGGTCAATGTTTGCAGAACAGCAGTTAACAGATGCTTGCTGTTGGAATATTGATTATTTCCCCCTCAACTCCCATGCATTATTTAAACCAATTCATGGTATCTTTTTCAAACAACTGTCACAATCACGTGTGAATCTTATCAGCTCTCTCCCGTCCTAAATGTGTTGTCTGGACAGAGTTCAGTGAAGTTCGACCTCACCAGTCAGGCACTGAAAGAGGACACCATCGTAGACCCCAAGTTAGACGGACATCTTGCAGAATCTTTGATAGTTGTAAGTTACCTCCACATTTCCACTTTGACTCTCAATATTTCATATTTCTGTGAGACCATCAAGCTTCAACCAGGTCACGATACAACACATACAAAATGGTTCACACTCAGCATTTGACCCACTGTGAAGTGTATATTGTCCCTGAAATGATTTGACCTCAGGTTAAAGGTACCAGTTAAAACATGGATAGAAATATTTAATTTTGAGTTATTTAGACACAATTAACACTTATAGTTTCATGTCTTGTTACATAAGAATAGATCATATTTGTTAAGTGTTATTATGGGAGAATAACTATTCTTGTGGTACTACTGCCTTATTAGGCCCATATTGAGCAGAGCATATTAAGACCAAAACTCATGTACAACAACTTTCTTACTTGCAATAAATAAGCACTAATTAGAGAGTTATTGAGGAAAAACTCTCAACTAATGGCTTATTACTTGTAGAATATGGTCATGTAGAATAAGGCATTAATAAGTGTTTTATAATGACTAATAAAGAGCCAATATACTGCTAATATGCATGTTAATTACTAGTTGATGGTGAATTTGTGTACCTTAATATAAAGTGTTACCAAACATTTGATATACTTTCACTTACACTTATTTTGCCTTTTGCCATGAAGGACCCTTTAATAGAAGCCGCAGAGGGTCCGACTTTATGGAGCGCCACCACACTGAACAGAGATCAGGATATCGACAGGACTGAGTCCATATTAAAGAGAAGATGGAATAAGATAGTAGATGGGGATAGTGAGAACGCATCTTCACACAAAATGAATCTGACTGTTAACAACTCAACTTTCAATTATACTACGACCCAGGAGGTAAGGACATTTTACAATGAAGAACGCCAACTTAAAAGCAGGCTTTTACTAAGTGCTTAACACATGCTGAGTACATTAAAAAAGGAAATTAGTTTTATTTTTGGAAGAAATTAATTAAGATAATTTTACAGCAACTTGAATTAAGTTGTAAAAGTTGTAAATGTACATAACTGGCCATTTCTAAACATTTCTTAACATTAAAATATATTATCATTAACCAAAAATGAATATTTCATGGCAGCTTGTGGCTTCAGGTATCAATCTTATGGCTAGGTATCACAAGATGTGACAAAAACACGTTTTTCCATTAAAGACATTGAAGTGTTAAAGCTCTAAAATAAAACTCAAGTCTGATTACAAACCATTAAAATTGACACACTGGAGGAAATAAGTATTTGATCCCCTGCAGATTTTGTACGTTTACCCACTTACAAATAAATGAACAGTCTGTAATTTTAATGGTAGGTTTATATAAACAGTGAGAGTAAGAATATCAAAAAGAAAATCCAGAAATTGACATTATATCAAAGATAAAAATGTATTTGCATTTAACTGTGGGAAATAAGTATTTGATCCCCTTGCAAATCATGTGTTAGTACTTGGTGGAGAAACCCCTGTTGGACACACAGAGGTCAGACGCTTCTTGTAGTTGGTCTCCAGGTTTGTGAACATCTCAGCTCCCTCCACAGATTTTCTATGGGATTAAGGTCCGGAGACTCGCTAGGCCCCTCCATCACCTAAATGTGCTTCTTCTTTAGCCACTCCTGTGTTGCCTTGGCCGTATGTTCAGGGTCAATGTCCTGCTGGAAGACCCATCCATGACCCCTACGGTATGGTACATGGCCCCGTACATCCTCTCCTCGATGCAGGGAAGTCCTCCTGTTCCCTTAGCAGAGAAATACCCCCAAAGCAGAATGGTTCCACCTCCAGGCTTGACTGTGGGGATGGTGTTCTGGGGTTATAGTCAGCATCGCTCTTCCTCCAAACACAGCGGGTCGAGTTGATGCAAAAGATCTTGATTTTTCTCTCATCTGACCACATCATCTTCTCCCAAGCCTTCTCTGAATCATTCAGATGTTCATTGTCAAACTACAGGGCCTTTCATGTTCTTCTTGAGCAGGGGACCTTAGGGGTGCGCTGCAGGATTTGATCCATTATGGTGTAGTGTGTTACCAATAGTTTTCTTGGTGACTGTGGTCCCAGCTGCCTTGAGATCTAACACAGGGCTCGACATTATAAATGGCCCGCTGGCCCGGAAGCACTATTTAGACACCCCGGGCCAGCATAACGGGGAGACCAGGGACAGTTGTAACACGGGTCGGTTGTAACACCTTCAATATCTCCAATCACAAACAAGCTAGAGTGATGAAACTCACTCTGCACATGCGCAGTTAGATGGTATTATCGCTGAGAAAAAAAGGAGCCATGTTTGAATTTCTCACGTAAGATATCAGTATAAGTGTGTTTCTGAGGTAAAATATTAACAAAAATTATATGATGTATTTTTTGGATACTGTCTTGAGTTCAAATGTCTAGGAATCCAAACTAGTATTATTAGAATCACTGTTTTGTAAGCTACAAATATAACTAGCTAAATATGGGTCAAGCTAGCAACCAGGCAGGTTTACAGGGGGTGGAAGCAAGACTGGTGGTCCTGGGACGGTTGTAACGGGACGGTTGTAACATGGCACATTTACAATGATGGCTCATTTGCTTGAATGATCAATTGTTCATTCAAACATACAGCTGTGTTGTTGGTTGGTGTGCATTGTCCCTGTAAGAATAAATAGAATAAAATACTGTACAATAGGCCTAAAGTGTGTGTGTGTGTGTGTGTGTGTGTGTGTGTGTGTGTGTGTGTGTGTGTGTGTGTGTGTGTGTGTGGTGTGTGTGTGTGTGTGTGTGTGTGTGTGTGTGTGTGTGTGGTGTGTGTGTGTGTGTGTGTGTGTGTGTGTGTGTGTGTGTGTGTGTGTGTGTGTGTGTTTGTGTGTGTGTGTGTGTGTGTGTGTGTGTGTGTGTGTGTGTGTGTACACAGTATGCCAAATGTCAGAAAGAGGAAGATAGACAGGGGAGTGGCACTTGCTCTGCTGCAGAGGGCCTCAAATGAAGTTGAGAAGGGCAAATCATTCAGGGAAGTGGCAAAGTCCCTGGATATATGCCATGTCACCCTGTACCAGTTCCATAAAAAGAGGCTGAGGTTGGAGTGTCAGGGATCACAAACACCCCCAAGAGTAGGCTACTAGACACCAAAGAAGGTGTTCTCAACAGAGCAGGAGATGCTTTTGAGAGACTACCTGATGGAGGCAGCCAGTGGCGGCGCCAGAGATTTTCTCTAGGGGGTGCTGTAGGGTAGCTTGACGTTTCATAGAGGGTGCTCAAACATTAAGGGTTTCCCATTAATGCACCAGCGCTACAGTTTAATTTTCTACTGCAACACTCCCCACGCACACACACAGTGTACCCGCGACTGTTACAATGAAGGCTCGGTAATCAGCTCACGGCATATAGGTGTAAGCAGGGGTAAAGTGCTATTTTTACAAGTGGGGAGTGGACCTCACCTCCTCTAGGAGGGTCCTCACCTCCTCTAGTGGGGTCCACTAGAAAAATCTAGATTTTTTTTTTAAATATTGAAGTTAAAAGCATCAATCTGGTGCACTTTGAGAGCCAAAATGAAGAGATCTATGGATATACAGTATCTCTCAACATACATATGAAACAGAACTGTAAACAGATTTTCTATTTCTTTATAGATATTTTACAAATCACTCCCCTTTTAAAACAAACCGTTTGAGAACCACTGAGATAACTAGACTAAAGTTAACTATCTAAACACTGAGAGTCCTTTACTTCACCTGAGCTGAGGTTATCTGAGACTCTCACTCAGTCTGACAGGAGAGAGTTCTCCCTCCACCTTGTTGTTGAAAAAGCTCCTTATATCCGTTAGCTTGGCTAGCTAGCACCAGATGCTAACCACAACGATCTCCGGTAGATACCCACCGGTGCGCGAGCTCTCTCTCTCGCTCGCTTGCGCACGCACACAAAATGGCTCGTGCCACACACACACACAGAGCAGAGCTTGAATGAAACAGACCCAGAAGTAAGCTACTTGTACTCACGAGGCCTATTATGTGCAGAATCCCTTTCGCTTTCAGGTGGTTTTGATTGAGTGTCCACACGTGGACGTTTAAGGACTAAAAAACGATCCATTTGTCACTTTGCTGTTAGCAAATCATTTGGGGCTCCAGTTACAGGAAGTCACTCAAGTGTCACAAAGTAATTTAGCCTATGGGTAGGTCAAAAATCGAATGGGTGCTGGCCATTGGCCTAATCATATCACCTGTGTTGGCTTTATGTTTTTGGTCAAACATTTATTTGTTTCACATTTGCATTGATGTAATCAATAATTGTTCTGATTTAATAAAAATAATAATAATTTTCGGAAAAAAAAACATATTTCTTGGGGGTGCTTAGGGGGTGCTTTGGCAATCCTGGGGGGTGCTGAAGGCGCCGCCCCTGGAGGCAGCTGATTTATATTATGGTCTCAGCTCAAAGGAGGTAGGTCTACATAATTAAGGTAGAAGCACCACTCAGAGAACAGTTTAATCCTTCACAGAGGATGATGCTGTGTGTGTTATCTGTTATCCTGTTCATTGCTCATTGTTTGTTGGAGGATGTGTGAAACCCCATTCAAATCTTGTTGCCTTAGAATTTGACAGCTTTCCCTATTTGTTGTCATGTAGTGTGAAAAAGGTAACCGTTATTAATATGTTACAACCGTGCCTGGCATGTGTTACAACTGTCCCTGTACACAAGGACAGTTGTAACAGTTGAGTTTTTAAAAAAAAATACATTTTCCAACCTGTACTTATTTCATAAAAACATCTTAAATACATTGTTTAAGTAGCTGACATATTGATAATGTATAATATAGCAAAATGGCTATCCTATTGTAAATGTTTTTTTACTTATTGGGGAAAAACCCAAAAAGTGTTGCAACTGTCCCTGGTCTCCCTACTTCCCACTTGCCCGCTCGGGCCACTAAAAATATTGTTTAAAAAAAAATGTTTCCTGTGGTATTGGTATTTTGACTAGCCATTTTGTTCAATTGTTTAGTTTATTAACGCTACAACATAGCGTTTCGTGAGTCGCTTGTCGTTGTTGGGTGAAAAGCAAACAGCTGTTTGCTGCAGAGCTCAGCGCGAGCAGGCTCACGTGAGCGGGAGCGCGCTCCTTCACTACAGACTATCGCGCCACCTAACCATTCGCCAAAATGTTTTTAATACCAGCGGTAACCGGCCAAGCGCCGTGCAAAAAACAATCTTCAAATAAAAGAAAGTCACCGGAGGAGTTAAAGGAGAGTGACAGGGAGCATGAGAAAAAGAGGGAGAGAAAGTTTCAGCCAGCTTGATCGATGGAGTTGGCTTCTAGTGGTGCAGTGACACGTCCTAAAACCCTTTTATAATCTATCGATTAGATTTATGATTCGAAAATTATAAAAGTAGGGTAGACATGTGGAGATTATCCGGCTGAACAAAACGTGCATTTATCAAACAGGTTTGTTTTCCACAGACCTTATTTCCAGCTATTTTCCAAAACCCTGTGGAGAGAAATCCCATTGCTTTCTGTCGAGGGAACCAGCAGTTTACTTCCTTGTTTTATGACGCGTCACTGGCTGCACCTCTCAATATGATGCCAATATAAACAAGGTATTCTGTCGGCTCTGTACATCAATGCCGACCTATGCTGACAAGTAAGTGAAGAGTAGAAAATATAAAGGCTATAGGGAAATGTCCCAGCAGTTTAGGATAATGAAGGATCTAATCTAATCTAGCCATTACATTTCTAATTCCTAATGACAGGAAGGCAGAAAGTGCATTATACAAATAATAATACTCATAATAATAGCAGACATTTTTTAACAATGACCACAATATCATTATTTTAATAAACCAAATATGAACACTTGAGGAAAATGAGGAAGAAGTGATTGTTCAAATGTTGTAGTACAAGTAGTAATGTAGTTAGTGCATAAATTACTATTGCAACAAATGTGTTAATTTTCTTCATTATTAGTCGATTTTTTTTTGGACGAATGCTCCGGGCCAGTGGTTACAATGGTGGGGCCAGTGACAATACAATTCCACCGGCCCGTAGGGCCAGTGGCTTTTTACCCTTAATGTCTACCAAGTTCCTCCGTGTAGTTCGTGGCTGATCCCTCACCTTTCTCATGATCATCAATACCCCACGGGGCCAGATCTTGTGTGGAGCCCCTGACCGAGGGCGACTAATGCTCATTTTCTGTTACTTCCATTTAGAAACACACACATTATTCTTCTGAATAATCACACCAGTTGTCTCCTTCTCACCAAGCTGCTTTCTGATGGTCTTGTAGCCAATCCCAGCCTTTTGCAGGTCTACAATCTTGTCCCTGAGGTCCTTAGACAGCTCTTTAGTCTTGCCCATGGTGGAGAGGTTGGAATCTGATTGATTGATTATGTGGACAGGTGTGTTTTATACAGGTAACAAGTTGGTATTAGGAGTATTTTCTTAAAGGAAGAGGACTTATGTAACCGTCTGTGAGAGCAAGAATTCCTGTTGGTTGCAAGGGGATCAAATAATTATTTCCTACAGTTAATTGCAAATATATATTGTCAATTTCTGGATTTTCTTTTTGATATTCTTAGTTACACTGTTTATATAAACCTACCATTACATTACAGACTGTTAATTTCTTTGTAAGTGGGTAAACTTACAAAATCTGCAGCGGATCAAATACTTATTTCCTCCACTGTATGTGTCTCAGGAGGTTTCAGAGTTACCGGATACTGTGGCAGGGACTGTTCTCCTCACTCAGGAGGACTCCCGGAACAAAAGCTCAGGACAAAAGAAGAAGAACAGGGAACGTGGGAAGGTAAAGCTGCCATTGACAACTACGAATCTCTACGATTGTTTGACATTGACTGAGCAGAAACACACATTTTTCAGTATTGTTCATCTTGTATATCCAACAAAAAACATAAAATACAATTTTCTTGTTGAGATTTTGCTGTTTGATTGATTATTTTTGATAACTTAAATGTTTAAAATTGAAGGAGAACCCTAGTGTTGCATGTTTTAGCTCCCTACATTCAATAATAATTCCACTAATTCATGAAAATCCACTTTTACTTTGTAATAAAATGTGGACTGAAACATGCAAACCAAGGGTGTGCTCTTATATAAATAGGTCTAAACCATTTGATAACTTTAACTCTAAGAACTTTTAATGTTGCATTCATTTGTGTTCGTTAACTACTTATCTCCCTCTTTAATATCTCCCTCAACTTACAGTATCAACCTCATAATTTAATACTTGATCATCAACGTCTAAAGCATGAGAAACCTTTATCTTTTTTCTCTCCGACTGTGAACTTTTTAACCAGGGCAAAGGAAATAAAGGAAGACATAAGAGGCAGAGACAACGCCTGGTAAATGTCCTTTAAGGGGTCCCATCTCAACCTCCAAACTTCACTCTACTTTTGTCCCAACTAAACAACAAATAAACTACCAACTAACACATCTATCTAACACTGCAAAGTTTAAACGAAGACTCTGACACTGGCTGCCGCTAACATGACATTAACATGACATTATATGTGTAAATAACAGCTTAAATGTTTTTAAAATAAAATGACATAATTTAAATATAATAAACATAATTAACCAGTATTCGTGGTGTGGCTAGTAAATATAAAAGCATGCAGTTATCCCAACGTCCATGTGCTTCTCATTATAACGGTAACAAATCTCATTTTTGTTTTAAGCGCTTGGCATTGTGTTCTTCCAGACATTTTAAGTTATGATGTGTAACAGTATCTACCTCTAATTATTGTTACGTGTCCTTTTTCTGAAGACAACTGATGAGGACATGCAAGAAGAGGAAGAGGAGTTTTATGATGGCGAAGAATACAGTTATGAATACGAGGTAGGCAGCAGCTGCGATGAATGTGTGAACAGTGAGAAACTTCATTTGAAAGTGATGATTGATGACGTGGGGCTGTTACAGATTTGGAGCGTTGTCGTGGTGGGAGGCTTCTTGCTAACAGACCTGTCATACTCATATTTAAATTGGGATTTTCTCAGCGTCTCATTTGCGCCCACACTAAATACTAGAGAGAATTGATTCATGACACACCCACTACTTGAATTTATCATTAGGAATACATTACTGTGTCATAACAGCCCACCTGATCGGCTTTGTACATTGTCACTAGAGAAGTTGTAGGTTGCAGGTGTTTAAATGTTATATATATATTTTTCTAAACAGGAAGAACTTCCTACAGATGTCCTCTTGGCCTCTCAGGAGAGGAAAAACAACACACAGGTACATTTGCTTCAAACAGCATGTTTCAGCTAGTCTGGGTAAATGCTGTGATTCACTTTAAATATAAAATATATTTCACGTTTTCTTTTATGATGTGCAGCTTGAAGTCCAAAATGATTACATTCCCCATACAGTGGATAAATAGCTCAGTGTTAATAATGATGTAGCACAGATCATCAACAAAAGTAATTCACTGCTGCACAGTTTACACATGTATGCTCTTTCTGTTTTTCGATGTAGGAGGAACTAATAACCACACACAGTCCTGCCCATTCAGAAACACTGGTGGAAACCTCCAGTCGTCCTCTAACGTCCTCCACAGACAGAGACATAGATGCACAGGTGGAAACACACTCAATTGCTGAAGTATTACAAAAATAATTAGTACAAATGTCCTGTCATTTGAACATTATATCTTACGTATTTACATATAATATACACATATTAAACACAACCCGGAAACGTTGTATATACCTAAAGAACCCTTTCCTTTCGGTTTTGTATTCCCCTAGGTTATCTTGACAACCTCAGAACCACTATCACAACCTGGAGATATAGAAATGGTATGGGGGGGTTTGCTTGTTTTTGTTGCCGTCACATATGGATTTTGTGAGAGTGTTATTTTGAAAGTCTCTCCTTCACTGTCATATTCTGATCTGTTCTTCAATGTTATCACCAGGAGGAAACGTCACTCCCTACGCCTCCCATCACGACAGAAGAACAACACAAGGTAGAGCTTTGATTTGATTTGAAATGCTTGAAACCTAACTGAATGTTTATGAAGACCCTTGCATGCCTTGGAATGCAAATCTCTTTTATCTTCACTTAACATGAGACTCCTAAAAGTGATTGACAAGTGCTTGAACCAAAGGATTGATGGTTACATTTTCTCCCTGTCATAATATGTAGTACTCCAAAAATTAACATGCTTTATGTAACAAGCACATATTTCAAAACCTTTTCTTCTTTCTTCTTTCTTCTAACTATACAATTTCACCAGTGCAAAAAAAGGTGCACATATGACTAATGTGAATACAATGGGAATGGAAAAAAGCATCATAGCATTATTAAAGCATGAGACAGGACAGCATTTCCAGAGAATGCTATTAGCATGATTTCTCTAATGCTTGCCTGAATGGGAATGAGCCGAACAAGTTGCCTCGACCAACTCTTCAATGATTTACAGGCAAAGAAACAATTCCATAGCATTACTTTTAATACTTTCTCTGTCTGGTTTTTTTAAACAGGACGACTCTTAAGTCCCAAGAGACTGTGACTTTAGGATGTTAAGCATTCATAAGAAAGCTCACACTACATGGAGTGTGTGAATAAACTGTGAACTGTTTTGCTGGTGAGGAGCCCTGAACCTGACCTGAACGTATCATGAGGAAGGACTTCTTTCCACAAAGAGACACTCACCCATGCCCAACAACATACCAAAGTTCAAATCTGCTATGAGGGCTTATATCCTTAGTAGAGCTTTGTAGAAAACCAGGCACAGCTGTTTAAATATGATATGTTTCCTCGTGTCCAGGTTATTTTCATTCTTCACCTTTTTCACTGTTAATGCCAGTCTAGCCTTTAACTTACTCAACTTGTCTACAACTCCTAATTTATTTATTAAGACAAATATTTCTTTGTAACAAATACATATCACATTAGATGAAACTGAACATATATATATATATATATATATATATATATATATATATATATATATATATATATATATTTCCTTTTGAAAAGTTGTACTTACATTTTATTTATTGAAATATGGATAATCTTGTGTTTTTACCTTACCAAATATCTTTGAGTATCAATGATATTATTTAGAATGTAGTGTTACTATAAGCATATGTGGAGCTAATGCTTTTTTCACTGGTGAAATGTTTCTCTATTATTACATTGTTTTGTCTGTTTAACCTCTCTGTGCATGTATCCTTAGTAAAATTGTTAAAATAACCTAAGCAATTCTGTGTCTTTCTTTCTTATACACACACAAACATCAAAGTACACATACAGCTGTTTGCTAGGAAGCTTTACAATAATTGTGATAAATGTTTCATGAGAAGTTTTGGGGGTCTTGATAGGTGCATAGGTCCCAAATCAGGGTGAAGAAAAGCGCTCCCTGGCCCGACTCCATGGTAAGTGCCTCCTTTGTAGAAGACAGATTGATAATAATCAAAATGGCAGTAAAAAAACATTTTTTATTTTTTGTAGGTGTTTATGCCAGGTGCCCCAGGTGAAATAACTCATTTCTTGGAGGCACACAAAGTAATTCAGTCTTAAACAATTCAAACTTAATGCATATGACTCAGATTGCATCTAATAAATAAAATAATGAAGATTGACACCTTGTTTTATTTTCAGCATCTGTCCTCTGGAGCTCAAGGTTACAACAGCTGGAATGTAAGTTATCATGGATTTCAAATGAGAAATCCAAACCAAGACGCTGAGACTTATAAACATGTTAACTTGTGTTATTAAATGTTGTTCTCTTGCAGAAGAAGCAAGAAGACTCTGACCTTCAAACACTTAGCAGGAAGCAGAGGCAAGAACGAAGGGAGAGGCAGCGATACAGCGATACAGAAACCCAAGGGGGAGGAAAGGAAGAAGCTGAAGAAGTGGAGGAGTGGGAAACAGAACAACACAAAGTGATAGAGACAGATCGATTTACAGAACCAGACCCTGATCCCGTCTATGAGGAGGAGAGGAGTGGAGACTACGACTGGGAGACAGAGGAGGACGTAGATCGAGAGAGAGGAGGAAAGGAGGATGAAGACCTCGAGAGGGAGAGAAAGAAGGAAAGGATGGAGATGGAGAAAGAGTTGGAGAGGGGGAGGACAGAGCAGGAGGGGGAGGAAGACTTGGAGAGGGCGAGGGAGGAGTGGGAGAGGAGGAGGGCGGAGATCGAGAGGGGGAGAGTGGGGGGTTATGATGAAGAAACTGGACAGCCGTACCCATACCCCCCAGAGTCTTTCCACCTGAAGGTAACACACCCTTCAATTTAACATACTCAACTTGTGTTATGCACATTTAGAAATATGCAGGATGAACACCACTTTAATTATGAAATGCTTTTCATTTCTTATGCAATAGGGACAAGCAGGTGAGAATGGATCACCAGGACGGAAGGTAACGAAATACTTTTTAACATGAAGTCGTAACAATAATAAACATGGTTGGTTATCATTGAAGCGCTAAAGACACAATGAGAAATGTTACATTGCAAACATTTACTCATATAAAGCCTGATGTTATGGAATCATTTATTTGTGGTCAAACACTTTTTCATAAATCAATGATAGGAACTGAGGTTATACTTAAAAAATACACATGTGAATAGCCAAAAGGATGAAAAAGCAAAAAATGGCTCTGGCAAGGAAAAAGGATTAGCAACATAAAAACTAAAGCATAAGTACATTTTGGAAAAACCTGATGTAAAGGGTCAGTTTACCCAAAACGTGATGTATGTCACAATCAACCATGCTAACAGCTGAGTGAGGTACATACAGAGGTTAGAGGTCACAGACAGCACACACAGTTACGTCTGGTGGGAAAGTAGTTTATGAAACCTAGAGATGGACATATCAAATCACAGCTGTCTGCATGGACTCCACTAGAAGAACACATTGTAAGGGAAACTTCTGCAGCAATGGAGAGTCAGGACTCAGAGAGACACGAGGAGAGTTGGAGCTTTGATGTCAAACACTGATGTTTATTTACAAGTATCGGCCGGAGAATTCATATCACAAGTCACAGAGCAGCCAGTGGCTCTGACTGCCCGGGTGGGTTGCCACGTCAATTCTGACCACCCTCTCTCTCTCTCGAATAGACCTTTTAACTAGTTTACAGAGAGTTCATCCACATATTGGGGGATGGTGCGTAAACACTGGGAACACTGGAGATATCGCCGACATCTGGACTGCATTAGCACATTCCTTACGGGAGATAACAGACTTAGGGTTGGTCGTAAACGTCCCCACACAGAAAGGTTAAATATCTTAGGAGTAAGACAGAATTATTCTCTCACACAAATGTTTTGTAATTTGGGTGAACTCACTCTTTAAATTCAAACACATCCCTTCCAGGATTTCCTGAGTCACTGATATCAGCTCACTGATTAAACAAATATGAAGCAGCATTATCATTATCTTTAGATCCCAGAGGAAAAATGACAGTCACCACACAACATGTGCCTCCACTTCATGAATATATAACTGCAGCTATCCCCACCTACCCACAGTGCATCAGTCAATGACATCAGAGCGGGGGGAAAACTCCTCTGCCGTCTCGCCTGTCAGTAAAACCAGTCGAGTCCCGGCCTTTGATGTGACACTCTGCTCTATTTCTGTTTGACTGGGAGACAGTATGAAAGCAGACATTCATTATTCCCCTTGTTAAACATGCCGAAGAGGCTGCTTATTCTTGTGTTTTTTTATTTATGTATTCAATTGAAATTCATCTGAGTTTGTTTATTTTGGCTCATGGAAAACAATGTTCTGAGGACCTCTTTCTAACTCTTTTTGTCCCGACTTTTCAGGGGGAAATTGGTGAAGGAGGACAAAAGGTAAATATTTATAAACTGTTCAATATTAAGGCGAGACACCCCAGGTGAATAGGGTACATTTTTTAACTTAAAGGTATCAGCTAGACATTTCTCCAGTTAATTACTTACAATAAGGCAATTGTCTTTTGTATTACAAGTTTTCTGAAATAGCATGTTTAAATATGCAAATTATCCATTATCTCATTAAATATGCACATATTTTAACACATTTCAGGAATCGAAATCTGAACTTTGGATATAGCCAGATTCAAAATTCTTGTTTCATTTTGTAGTCATATTAGTATCTAAGGCTTTTACAGAAGGGATATTGGATATCTCTTTTTATCACTCCATAAATCAGAAAATACTGTCAACAGCCCTAAAATATCCATTTTCGCCATGTTTTTAGGTATACAATGTTGTATAATTCAGGCTATGAATTATATATGAACAAACCCTTCTGTAAAAGCCTTCATAATATTGATAGGAATATAACTGGAAGGTTTGGTGTATGTACGTGCTACTGAAGTTGCAATTTCGAACTCAGAGTAGGAGAAAAAACTCATTTTGAGAAAACGACCTTTAAAGATTGCAGTGAGGCGCTAGCTAAACCCTCCTGTTCTTTGGATGACAGCTTGCGCATCGACGCACTCCGTGAAGGTATTTCATGTTCAGGGTAATTTTTTTTTTTATAACCTTGCTTCGTGCAAGTGACAATTGTTGTCGTCTTCTCTGTGAACGTTTTTTTCGCCGTTCTTTTGGCATTTTGAGATTTCAATTTCTAGCTGAAAGCTAACCAGGAAGTGTTTTAGCACACCACGTGACGCATCTGAACGAATCACATTGTCAGAAATTGACACCAGCCAATGAGATTTCGTTTCTTGGTTTAAGACCCCTTTGTGCTTTCACGATTGGTTGCTGATACAAAGGAAATGACCATATTTGGATCCGATGAGATTGTGCAGGAGAGACACAGCTTTCCAACGATACCTCTGTTGACATGTTGCACACAGCGGTCGCGGTACTTTATGTTACGTTAGAATGCTAACTTTTGGTGAATTTAGGAGAAATCTACAGACGCAAATAGACAAACTATAGTAAAATAAACACTTAAATGTGTATTTTGTACGTTTTCCTTCCAAAAGCCTGAAAGAAAACATGTTATGGAATCAAAATAGCACAAAATCTCAAAATTGACCAGTACTTGAAAAACTATGTTTTTGCCTGCCGTGTCTCGCCTTAAGTTTTGAAAGTGTTATATTTTTAAATGAAAGACATTGCTGAACGATGTTCCAATGACGTTTGTTTTGTGTATTTAGGGCGAGCCAGGTATCGGCCACAGGGGTCCAGAAGGCCAGGCTGGTCCTCCGGGACTTAAGGTAACATTTCAAACCTTGCAAACTTCATTTTTTTAATTCCCCTCTAAATCAATGAATCCTCCGCAAGTCTTCTATCACATTCTCGTTAATTGATTTGCTTCTGTTGGCAGTTTTAATTTAGCAAATGTAATTGGCTCAGTGACTCATTCACTCATTTCAAATGGTGTTTGAGCATTTACATTGATAAAGGAAGGAAGACATTTATTTGAAAGCAAAGCGTCATAAGTAACAGAAGAGCTGAATAAGAACATCAAAGAAGTGACCTTTAATTGTGTGATTGTCTCCAACATTTTAAATTGTCTTTCTTACTTTTCCTCTCTTAATCTTAGGGTGAACCAGGTGAGCCGGGGCCTCCGGGTGCCCAGGGCATCCAGGGTATCCGTGGTCACACAGGCATGCAGGGCGCCCAGGGGCTTAGGGCTGCTCAAGGGGACCCAGGAGACCCAGGCAGAGAGGTGCATCTTACCTTATCAGTGTATAAGCTGCTCTTCAGCTCGTTTTGGATGAAGACAGTGGAAGCATGTGCATATGAGTGGAATTGTTGTGAATTAATGCTAAAATGGGTTGTAAAGAATAATCAAATGTTTTCTGTGTGAACGCAGGGGGAACGGGGAAAAAGGGGAAAGAATGGATCGCCTGGATCTCCTGGAACCCGAGGAACAGCAGGTGCTCAAGTAAGAAAATACAAAAGAGCAAAATACAATTCACAAATACTCTGTCAGTAGATTGGTATTTCTAATGATTTGATAACAGTGACACTTTATCTGATTCATTGTCCACTGGAAATAACCTTTAATGATATCTTCTTTTGCTACTGCTGCCCCTTTCTAATGAAGGGTTCTCCTGGGATTCCTGGAGTAAAAGGAGAAAAGGTAGCTTTATATATGATAGTACAGTAGCATCAATTATTTTTTCTTTGGCCCATGATTCCTAGATTATACTTCAACTGGTATTGTTGTTTTATAGTTGAGTCATGACTTTATCTTCCTCCAGGCCAGCAGTGCTCCTGGAGAGCCCGGGGCCCGGGGGCTGGCAGGCTTCTCAGGCAGGAAGGTGAGTTCAGTTCAGCTTCATCACAGGAGACCCTTGTGAGAAGAAAACCCTGACCAGAAACAGACACCAGACAAACGTTATGAAGCAAATTCCTGTAATGTTAGTGGATTAAGCAAAAGACGTAACCCATTTATGTTATTTTCAGGGTGAGAAGGGTCCTATAGGCAATAAAGGACTGTCTGGAAATTTAGTAAGTCACTTTTTTAAAGCCACCAAGTGTCCTGCTTTTATTTAAAACTGTTACAGGTTTCACTTGTGTATATTTAAAGATACTTTTTGTCTTCTTTTTAGGGTCCAAAGGGTTTGCGTGGCAGCAAAGGTGGAAAGGTGAGCTGTTATTTCACATAAATTATCACAATATTGTTATATATTTAAATGTATCTTTTCATTTGGTTCCTTCAGTTAACTCACCAACATAATTAATCATACGATAACGCTGCAATACTTTAATGATTGATGTCAACTTGGAGTCAGCAAACAAGACTTCAGAAAATAAATATGTATTCTCTAATCAAGGGTTAGGGTCAAGAGTCACAAATAATGAGTTCAAGGCCTCTCCTTTCATTGTGTCTAACCCCTTGTCCTGTTGCGCATAACAATCATCCATGATATTGTATCAGATGGATTACATTGTATTGTGAAGGGTTTTAATCAAATAAAATGCAACACTAAAGCAGAAACAGGTATAAAGTATTACGTGTACTTTATCAACAGCTAGAATGGCAATAACAACATTTTGTTTGCAGGGTGACTTTGGATTGCCTGGAGTGAGAGGAGAAAGGGTATGATGTGTTCCTTTTTATTACTTCCCCTGCAGTTTTCTAACCCTGCACTACACTCTTTCACAATTTAATATCTTCCTACAGGGGAGTGTACTTCAAATCCAAGGACCCCGTGGATTTAAGGGTTCCAAAGGAGAGGCGGTAATATCCTTTAATATATTTGCCATCAGAATTACTGTAGAAGGAATTCATTTATGTGTACCTGTAAAAGCGCCTCGATGTCTTCGAGGCGTGAAGATGGACGGTGTGGCGCAGTGCGCTGTGCAATGATCATCAGATCAAGGGGTGAAACCCGCCGCTGCTGCGTCTGTAAAGCCGGTGTGTCCTTGGGCAAGACACTTCACCTGAACTTGCTCCTGTGGGTATTGTCCACAGTATCTGACCATTGCATGTATCATATATGTGTAATGTGTGTATATGTAAAGCGCTTTGAGTCATTGATAAAGCGCTATAATAAATGTAAGGAATTATTATTATTATTATTATTTAAGAAAAATACTACGATTATTTTCTTTTTCAGGGTGAGCGTGGCCCACCAGGTTTCGATGGAGATAAAGGAGAAAAGGGCGAGGACGGTCCTCCTGGAGTCAAGGTAATAAATCCTGCTGTCAAATATGTAAACAACAATAGTAGTAGAAATGCGATTCAAAATACTGTTATACTGATCACGGTGGTGTCTCTAATAGACAATGATCAGTCTTCTTCATACTTTTATTTGTAATTAAGGGGACTGCAAAAAATCCTTATCATGGAAACCATTTGTTTTTGTTTAAAGGGCATAAAGGGTGATGCAGGAACTAAGGGGGCATTGGGACGTTTTGGAGCACGAGGACCAGTAGGCCAGAAGGTAAATAAAGGTTTATTTTCATATTGTTACACCACATTTATGTAAGTTCTGTGTGTAAAGTTATCTCATTTCCCCCCAGGGAGATTCAGGAGAGCCTGGAATAAATGGAGAAATGGTAGAGCTACAAAACATTTTTAAGGGCCACATTTGAGTTTTAACACACGCAGTAATACCCATGGTTGTGATTTAAGGGTCTCAATGGGGATCATGGAGTGGATGGGGCCAAGGGGGACAAAGGAGACATAGGACTGTTCGGCCACAAGGGAAATCAGGTACATTGAAAATCAATATTCAACCAATCATGATCCTTTATATCGTATCATGTGAATGTGTGTTTGATTCTTTTCTCAGGGTGATGCAGGAGAACCAGGCTTACCGGGAAACATAGGGGAGAATGGAGAAAAGGTTAAGGCAGATTTATCTTTTTCACAGTTGTCCCACTCATTGTTTATTTTTTCATTTGCCATGTGCCATAATTGCATGTGAAATATTTTTTTGTTACAGGGTTTCAGAGGTCTTCCGGGACGCATTGGGAGTCCAGGCCTTGATGGAGAACAGGTTAGTAATGAACTAGCATCTTAGATGAATGCAAAGTTATACATTATCTTTCAGTAATCTAAATAACTCTGTGTATGCAGGGAGATTTGGGGTTACACGGCACGCCTGGTATACCTGGGCTGAATGGACTCACAGGACGCAAGGTGAACATTCAACGTTGCAAATATTTATCTTTCTCTCCTCCATAAACGTATACAAACTCTCTGTTCCTATCATGTGACCTCACTTTAGGGTGATAAGGGACAAGGAGGCGTCAATGGTGTTGATGGTAAATCAGGAATGAAAGGAGAAAAGGTCAGTAAATTAACATCACTGCTAACTATCAAGCTAATTTCACCACTGATCATTTGCCGGTTTTATTTTCTCCTGTGTGTGTTAATGATTCTGTTGCTGCATGAAGGGTGCAGCAGGTTTCCCAGGATTCCCAGGGTTTAAGGGGTCGGAAGGGAAAACAGGAATGGACGGAGATGAGGGAATGCCAGGACACCCCGGACCCCGCGGGGGAACAGGGCGGAGGGTACGGTATTCCTCCGTGTGTTGAGGAAATATAAAATAAATCATTCAATTTTAGACTATTATGTGAACATGGTGACGAGATGAGTGTGGCTACAGTCTTCACCATATCTGCGTCTTGTTAGCATGTACTGCATCAGTGGATACAGTACAGACATGTCTTAAACTAAAACACACACACAGGCCTATTTCCGTCTGCAGCTTTTATGCTTTCAGCTACAATTAGCAGACTTTCAGTGTTGACAGAGAGTATGGAAACCTTTAATGAGAATATTCTGAGGATTAACCTAATCAGTCTGTCTGTCCTGCCGCTGTGTGTCTACTTGTTAACACAGAGGTTTAGTATGAAATACTGTCCAAACTCACAATGTGGTTTCTCTGGACGCACTTTGGCTTTTGTCTAACAGGGGGAGAGGGGCAGAAGGGGCAGAGTGAAGACGTGTCAGAGAGGAGCCCCTGGGACAACAGGACTGAGAGGAGAGAGTGTGAGAGTCCTGCATGAACACACACACACACACACACACACACACACACACACACACACACACACACACTCAAAAACAGAAGTGAAGATATTGACGTATTGCCTTGGTCTTCTCCTTGCTTCTGTTTTACTAGCTTCTGTTATGTATTTGATCCACTCAAGAAATGTTTTACTTTTTTTTTGATGACCTGAAGGTGGTGGGACTTTATACTATCTAGAGTTGTTTTGGTAAAAAAAAATGCTCGATAGAATGTAAATAACGTTTTGAAAATGTGTTGTTTCTTTAGGGTACACTGGGCATTGAAGGAGGAAAAGGGGAGAAGGGGGAGCCTGGACTCTCGGTCCGTGTTTATCACAATTACACACGTTTAAACATATGTACTGTATATAGAGAGGTAGTCAAATTAGTAACTAAATAAACTAATATGTTCTGTCTTTGTATCAAGGCTGAAGAATTGAAGGAGATAGTCACTCAGGAGGTGGTAGAGAAGTGCGGTAAGATTCAGTTTGTCACATTATTCACTTAGACATCTTGAACCTTTTCCATTTGCTTATACATTGAACCGAGACGGAATACATGTGTGACTCTTGACAGGCCTACATATTGTGTGTGTGTTTGTGTGTGTGGTGGTTTGTTGTAGAGCTCTCATGGCGGCAGCATGGCACCGTGTGTGTTTAGCCATCTGTTATGTTCTCTCAGAGGAACACACACCATGGTGCCGGCCACAGTGGAGCCATTCACAAACACGAGACTTCCATTAAGTGGGACGCCTCACCAAGAATCCAACACACTAAATACTTAAAGGACAATTCTGCCGATTGCAAACTTTTTTCATGCAGGATCTGAAAATATAGATAGATCAGTATTTGAAACGTTGTATTTCCTAAATAACACAGAATATCAGACCACGCATGTTCTAGTTGCTAGCTAGCTAATAGCTGGTTATTTAAACTATACGTCTCAATCTATTTGGGAAAAAGATACGTTCCCATAACTTTGTTAAACAGCAACGCTTTGATAATCTGCAAGTAGAAAGAGTTTAGTAGTCCAGAGTTATGTCAAGTTTAAAATGATAAATAAAAAGGTCTGAATGTCAGATTGTGTGTATATTGTTTGTACAGGATTGGAATACAAGTTCATGGTGAAGTCTGTGGATCCAGATGGAACCACCGCAGTGACTGAGAATAAAAAACATCCGGTTGATGTAGTGACACCCGTCAACCCTGACCCCCCTGAAGAAGGGGTGGAGGAGGGAGGGGGAGCCAAACTGAGAGAAGTGACCACTGCTGCCCCTGTGCTCCTACCAAACAGCACTGGTAATTATAATGATTTCAGTAGTGCACATGCAGGGTCTAAGCCCACGGGCCGAACACACAGATGCCTGAGACATCATCATTTCTGAAAGTGCTCAGATGTCCATGACACATTTATAGAGTGTGACCAAATGTGTGTTCCAGCTAAATGGTTACATATGTCATACTATTGTGTACCAGCTGCGATGTAGGCATTTGTATAGTATGTTGGTTGAGACTGTAGGGACTTTGAAACAGTAATAATGTAATCAGATAACTTTTTAACCATTGAGACACCTCAGAGTATATTATCATGATTCTGTCAAGGTCACTTGGAGTCACAAATGGAGTTAAAAGGCCAAGATCACAAAGACAAAAAGGCAACACAAATTGAGGTTCAACATGAAGCTTATTATATACATTGAACACAGCTCCAGGGAAAGAACAGCTTTCTGCAACCCAATTTATTTCCATTGTTGCTTCAGGTGAACATAACCAGAAGACTAATCAAAGACGAAGCTTGTCATTGCCCATTGTCCATGTCAGCATGTTTATTCATAACTTATAATCATTTACTGGAAAACAATTAGCTCATTCTGTGTAAGGAATTATGGATTTGCTCAAGCCCAGTAGGTCACTTTTTAATGTGGCATCTTCAAAGGAGTAAATGAAAATGTGTCCCTGTTTTTTTATTTTTGCAGGATATGATTTGTGAATTGTAATTCCTTCAAACAAAGATTCACAGAAAGTTTGCACAACGAGAACAGAAATATGTACAACGAATGTTCCATGTAGATCAAATATACACACAACTGGCATTCAATAGATGTTGGTTGAGTCAAAGTGGTTCCTTCTTTTGGCCCCTAATGATTCAATCCACCCAGTAGTCCTGCTTGTAATTGACGTTGTTTTGGGCGTCAGATTCTCTTGAGGGGACTGCTGAGTGGAGACAGAGGAAGAAAAGAAGGGTACTTGGAACCAACACAGCTGGTGAGTGGCCAAGACAACTTATTATCCTCCTCATCTTTTCACTTTTTTTCAATCTTGTTTACTTGCTTTGTGCATCACATATTTCCATAAGCTATGAGTAATGATATCCTTGAAATTGTTTCACAATGTGAGAGAGAATGATAAGAGCAAAACTTAATCCATGAATGTTTGATAGCCTGTGCTAGATTTCGTGACGCACTTTCTGAAAAACAAGCACAGTGGGAAAAAAAGCTTCTCATTAGATCTTGTGTGAATCATACAGTACATTGATAACATCCAGCAGGTCCCTTTATACTTAATAATTCTTTTAGAAATTCTCTAATTTGCTCTTTTCTTGAGAGAAGATGGATATCATGAAATATTTGTTTGTTGTGATCATTCAGGCAATTTATTAACATTTCTTATCCATCTCTATAAGAAAGCAAACAAGTAAGCATCCCTTTTACACAAACACTTGTCAAAGCAGGTTTCATAATCACATTTGTGAAATCTCGTCAGTCAAACCCTAAAATCTCCCCACACATTTTGCACACTAGTGGCCCCAAGTGGCCTCAATATATATATTTTTAGAGTGTCATGAAGTCAAAAATGTAGGCAATAATACACATCCTCGATCATATTGAAAAATAAGCTACATTTGTATGTTTTTATTTGTTCTCGCATGCAAGCAGAGCGCTGCCTGGAGCCCATGTCAGAGGGGGCCTGCTCAGAGTTTGTTCTCCTCTGGTACTTCCACCCTCGCTCAGGGGAGTGCAGGCCGTTTGTGTACGGGGGCTGTGGAGGAAACACAAACCAATTCTCTTCAAGACAAGAGTGCCAGAGTTGGTGTGGGGTGCAGAGGAGAGGTAAGGGGAACTAATCAGATCACTAAGTAAACGTTGTTCAGCTAATCTTCTGTAAAAGTGTCTCAGTTTGATTGGGAAGATGCTGTGATTCATAAAATAGTCATTAAGACAACACAATATTTGCCTAATCTTTAATCATAGTAATTAAAATGGCATTTACACTTCCATAGGTACGAATCCTGGAGAGGAAACAATCAACCAAAAATGAGGAAATCATTTGTGTACATAACTTTGTAAAATGTTCAAATCGTGTGTTTTTTTGTGAATTTATTTATATATTTTAACGGCTTCATTTTTTTAGAGACAAAGTGTTGAAAATTGAAATGTGAATATTATATACTTTTATTCTGAAATAGACATTAGACTGAGTTTTTGAACGTCCGAAAATATCAATTTCCATCCTGAAATATTAAATCACTCTTTTTCTTGTGTATATTGGTCGTGCTCGTCTCTTCTCTCCATCTCTCTTGAATACTCAGTCACCTTTCTGATGTTTTCATCAAGTGCCCTGCCTCCTGTGTGGTGAGAACCAATAAGAAGCTGATTTCTGAATGCCTGCTGCTACCTCCACCACTACATATGTTTCTTTGGTAGGGGGTGTTATGGGTCAGGCTGGGAGCCGCATGAGGGGTATCATGCAGGGACTGTTGAAGGGACTCTCCCTCGGAGCGGCGCAGCAGGAGCAGGGGATTCCTGCGTGGGTGTTGAAGTGACGGCAGCACGCATTCAGGGCTTTTTTGCTGGCAGTGTGACACACGAAGAAGCACGACACAGGCTAGATTCTCAGGGTGTCATTTGATGATGTTTGAAAAAAGAAATCTTAGTTTTCAGTGCAACATGCTGCAGCTCCACCGCCACGTTTCTGGAGGCATTCTTCAATAATCAGTATTTAAAGCAGAAACTACATTTGGTTCATAGATACAGATGAGTCTTTAGCCGACACGCCTCCAGAGGCTTCCTCCATTAGTCACGATGCTGCTCTGTACGATGCACTCCCACACGCCGAAAGGCTTCATAGATCTGTAAGATGTAGTTACGCAGTCTGCAGTGACAGGCTGTCCTCGATGAACCACGCCCTCCGCCAACACAACTAGTGTAGACGAGGCAGAGGCCACACTGTAAAAAATACGTAACACTTATATTTTAGCTTTAAAGTCATTTGTCCTTATTCTTAATATACTTTCTCAGTGTAAAAAATATAGCTAGTATTGCTTGAAATAATATTAGTCAGTGTTTTTCTTAAAACCCCCAAAACTTAGTTTAGTATCATAAAAGGTGCTCTGTGGAGTTTTATTTGAAACATCAAAATGCATTGTGTGTAACCTTAAGGTCTGGTGGGTTTTTTTCCTTTCACATTTAGTGTTTGCAAAGCTAAATGATAACTCAAAGCAGCTTAAAGGGGCCCTATTTGCTCATGTTCAGGTTCATATTAGCATTGTGTGTCTCTTCTCCATGCTTTAAAGTTCAAAGCTCTTTATCTTGCTCCTACTGTTGCAGCACCTCTTTTCACCCTCTGTCTGAAACCAGAGCACAGTCTGCTCTGATTGGTTAGCTGTCCGGCTTGGCCAATGGATATGGACCTGGACCGCATTAAACCAGGAACCAATAAAAGAACACACACAAATCAAAAAAATGTAATAGTAAGAATATATATATATATATATTTCCACAAAGAAAGAAGTGAAGTATGTTGGTTCATATTATTTAACTTGTTAAACATAAGACTCAAAACCAGACAAGAAGTATATGGGGTCAATACCACACCTAAACTGAGCAGGAACTTTGAATATGTCACATTTCAAGTGACTAACAACAACATAATCCAGCATAGCATGAAAGTGAGGTTCTCCATTGAAGCTAAAGAGGAGCAACTCATTCCATTTCAGAGCTCAGTTGCTGAGTGGAGGGAGGACGTGTTTAGCACAGTGTGTCAGAGACTGCATACTCCAGCTGTGCAGACTTACAGTCATATTAATCCCACGATGAAGTTGTTCATTAGAGTTTGACCCAACACCCTTTGATCCTCTCACTTCTGCAAACTTGGTTTTGACATGTAATTTACATCACTAGGTAGTTCCCATGGTGTGTGTTGCGTCTACACTTAAAGTTGTATTTAAAACACATTGAAAACCATATTTAAAACTATTAATTGATTGTCAAAATAGCAGCTGACAGATACACCTATTAAATAATGCAATTATTCTTGCTGAATTTACAATAACTGCAAATATATGGGAGGCGTTTGGTGCAGTGGGTTGTGCGTTGGTGTTCGGAACAGGTTCAAACCCCACTGCAGTCAGCATGTCGTTGTGTCCCTGAGACACTTCACCCCAAATTGCTCCTGTGGGGATTGCCCACAGTATTGAGTATGTAAGTCGCTTTGGATAAAAGCGTCTAACAAGTAACATGTAATGTAATGTAATATAAGAAAGTGTTGCCTGAACGGGAACTGTCCATGGTTCTGAGTGGGAGCTTTTACTTGTTCTGAATGAGAACTGTCCGTGGTTCTGAGTGGGAATTGTTACTTGTCCTCAACAAGCAATCTTATGTCATAAAACGAGAATTTAATGAGGAGTAAACATACCGAAAAAGGATCAGGCTGCAAGAAAAAAAGTGTTTTGTTGTGTTTGGTCGTGATGCCTTGTGTTCACCGACAGGAGGTCACGTTTAACAACTTTGTTCAATGTACCACTACATCACTGCATCACAACCAATGGGATACTGGAGAGCAGACCAACATGTGAACGGGGATGACGTTGTTGCTGGCGTAGGGCTGCAGTTTGGTGGCTCCTACTAAATGAATGCAGAGGGAATGGACGAGCATGACACGCTGCCGGTCGGACAGTGCGCACTGCTGACCCTCCGCTCAGTATCACTTCATCGGGATTTCTTATCACACTTCACTTCAGAGGATTTCTGCCACTTTGGGTTTTCTTCGCAGGGATAGTGTTGGGTGACCTCTCTAACTGCATTCTTTATTGTAGGACACGAGTGGTAAGTTATGCAAACATTATTTCCTACCTGTTTGTGACCCAATTAAATGACATTATCTGTTCTCAAACATATTTTTGAAAACACAAGCTGAACTTGATCTGAACTATCGCTCGAATGTTATAGAACCATATTGTTTTTGAGAGAATTAAGAAGTAACCTTTTAGTTTTTATGTTAAAACTAAATAAGACCGAAATTATTCTCATTCCGTTTGCTGTTACTTAGCCTACTTTCATATTAATACACTTAATGTGTGAAATAAAATATATTCTTATGATGAGGTGTTAGGGGGGAAAGTAACCATGTTTTATTCCCTCTCCCTATTCTCCTTTGGGGGTCCCAGAGGACTCAGCATGCTGTCCTCCCTGAAGACCCTGCTGCTGCTCTCGGTCCTGTGCACGCCGACCTCCAGCCTGTGCCTCCGCCTCTACCGCACCCGCTCCAACCTCCTGTGCGACGACCAGATGGATGTGGGGGTCCAGAGTGACGAGGAGGAGCTCCCTGTGGACGGCTGGGGGTCCCTTCTGCAGTCCGCAGAGTACCTCTCCTCCTCCACCTCCACTTCTGCCGAGTCCAGCCGGGAAAAAAGGACTTCAAGTCCCGCGAACTACCGATTCGTTAGCCGGACGAAGCTCAGAGAGCAGCGGCTCCGAAACAGCATCAAAGGCGACCGGAGGAGCAGGCTGACCCTGTCTCTGGACGTCCCGACCAACATCATGAACGTCCTCTTTGACGTCGCCAAGGCCAAACACATGCGCGCAAAGGCGGCCGAGAACGCGCGCATGCTGGCTCACATTGGAAGGAAAAAGTGATCATGTTGGACAACTTCAGATGTACATTATCTGCCATGACCAGTGTTGGCCTCAAATGTGATGCATTATTCACTTTCAAAGTATACGCTTTTGATTTCTTTATCTCTGGAAGATTGTTATATTTCCACTCACAGTGCAGGTAAAAGAAGCATTTCTAAGAAAACTGAGTAACTGTAACGTTTTTTATTTCTGTTGTTCCAATGAAAACAAATGGGGAAGCCTCCATCGGGGACGTATGACCAATAGTTGGATGTAAAATCTTTACATTGTGACAATAATTGGCATATAAATATCGTAAAACTGTCAAATGTACAAAGTGTTACTCTTAAATTGACTCTTAAACGGAGACTGAGTGCTTTATAAAAAAGATCATGCCTTCAAGGTGAGAATAATCCATGTGTTTCTTGTGCTCTAAAATAAGTTTTCTAGCAATAAGGAAGTAGTTTGACTTGTATCAAGATAATTGATGTTTTAAGCAAGAGAACATGGATGTGTTTTAAATTTGAATGAAACATGAAATTGTCTCACCTTTCAGATCTGAAAAGAAGACTTGAAACAGATATGAGTATGAGCTGCAGCAAAGCAGGACTGCATATACAATTTAAATAAACCCTTAGTTTCTCTGTCTGTAAAATGTCTGACTCATCACATTTTAAAACATGGACTAAACAAAAAAGAACAAAGCTGTTTTCAGTATCAATTCTTACATCCTTAGCGAAATATGGTGTGTTTTGTAACTCTGTTGCATAATCATAACATTAGACTTTATAGTATGATGTTTTTCTCTCTTTGTTGTTTGATTTATTTAAGAAGTTTGCTGTTCTGAAGTTCACATGGTAGCCTATGATGAATCCAGATTTGTGAAACATCATCAGAAAAAACACTGAAATACTGTACAAACCAACTGCAAGATCATGACATACAGTAAAATGCAAATGCATGAGAATGTATGCGTTCATCAGATGTCTGTTATTTTTATACGCAAAATAAAGGATTATTTTTCCTCAAATAAAGCAGATGCGACTTACTACATTTCACTTTTTGTACAGACAGCATTTAAACAATTGGATAGGCTACATAGAATATTCCTTGAAATCATTATTCCTACAATTGATAAGGCTAGTAGAGACTGACTGATACATCAAAAGCCTATCATGTACGTTTGTCCAGCATACTATGGCCATTATATAATAATAATAATAATACAAAGACAAAAACACAATATCTTTATCATTTTAAGTCTATACAATCTGAAATACAATGATCAGTATCAGTCAGGCTATAACATAAATTCCTTATTATGCTGTCAGTGGATGAGAATTGTTCTTTCTCCACTAAACTGAATACTTCAACAGCTATTTGGCTTTTATAGATGGGGTGATGGTCTTCTTTCTGGCAAGAGTCTCAAAACAAGGATGCAATGGCGACATCTTGTGGCCATTTAAATAATTTCGACTACTGTTTTGAGAAATGATTATTTCTCCGTTGCTCCTATGTTGGGCAACTCTCAGTTCTCTTTGGTCCTCCTATACTTTCCCATGCCCAAACCTTACTCAAGGTCAAGGATGAATTAGCAAGCAGGCAGATCGTTCTATTTTCATTGTGCAATATAATTCACATTTATCTGGCAAAACTCAAGCAAAATATATCAGACATTTGATATGTTATGTAGCAGTAAGGAGGCTCTTCCATGATCTATGGAGCATTTTTCTCAGTTGGAAAAACGTAATATGTTTAAATATGTGTGTCACCAAATCAAATAAAAGAGTTACTTACTAAACATGTGTGATTTGGTTTAAATCCAGTATGAACTATAGGTTCATTCACACTCCTGTATAATGTAGCTTGTCAGCAGCGCTCTCTGCTGGTCAGGACGTAGAACGGTTCATGCTTGTCTTCCGTTGACGTGGACGCTTCACCCGGAAGTGAGTTTTCATTTTGGCTACGTGGAAGTAGCTTCTCTTCTGACCGAGAGCATCTCGTCCGTCTGCTCCATTCCGACAACATGATTAAAAAGTTTGATAAGAAGGACGAGGAGTCAGGTAAGAGCACACAGTTATTAATGTAAACAGTGAAAACGTTTGTAAAACGGAAATTGTGTGTGGACTGACAAGAGGTTTGACGCGTTGGTAGCTAACAGAGCTAGCCTGGAACAGCTAGCCGGCTAGCTAAAGTTAACAGGAGGTGTTAAGGTATCGTTTAACCGTGGCTTGCATGTTATTTTATATTTATGTAACAGGTATCGAAGGTAAATTGTAAACCGATGATCAGTTGCATTCAAATGTGTTCGCGCTATTTTAACTCCAGATAGCGAAATGTAGCGTTAGCATTGAAGTGTAGGCAGTGTCATCTGGATGTTATGATGTGTTGTTTTTTAGACGTCTAATCTCTGAACATGAGTTCACAATGTAAATGAGAGAATCATGCTGCAGGGATTCTTTAATCCAAGGGAGATATGTCTTCATGTATTGCTTTGATTATTATTATATTTTGGATTGAATATATGTATCTTAAACTGGCGTGCAATACAGCAATGCTTTAACTGCAACCTCTCTGGCTGTTCTGTTCTGACATTTAGGGAGTGGGTCCAACCCTTTCCAACATCTGGAGAAGAGTGCCGTGTTGCAGGAGGTAATCTCCCCTCATAATATGTGTTAAAAATGTACAATTCTACCTCTATTGTTTATTGCTTGTGTCCGAATATGTGTAGAATTACCCAACATTATTTATTGAATTCTATGCGTTTTCTTTGTATTTTGATTCAGAGTTTGTACATGTTACTTGTGTACAAAAATAATAAACAAACCAGCAATCAAATAAAATGTGTTCTGCTGTTATATAAGACAAAAAGCAAACTATTCTTGCCATTGAAATGAATGAAGGTGTCCTCTGTGTTCTCAGGCACGAATCTTCAATGAGACTCCTATCAACCCGAGGAGATGCCTCCACATTCTCACCAAGATCATATACCTGCTCAACCAGGTAAAAAGTAGTTCCTTTTTAAAGGAATACTTACTGTTTTGACATGTATTGAGTTTTGTTTGTCTCCCCAGCTTAACATCAAAAGTCTCTCTTTGTCTTTTCTATGTTTTATTAAGGGGGAGCACTTTGGGACCACAGAGGCCACCGAGGCCTTCTTTGCGATGACCAGGCTCTTCCAGTCCAATGACGTAAGATCTCATTCATTCTATTATTAGTTTGAATACTAAGAGACTTACTTATTCTTTTCCATTTGAGCATCAGTTTGTAGTGTTTAAGTTCAATAAGTTCATACTTTCTTTCTCTCTTAGCAAACCCTGAGGAGGATGTGCTACCTGACCATCAAAGAGATGGCCAACATCTCTGAGGATGTCATCATTGTCACTAGCAGGTTTGTACCATGACGTTATATGACCTGTGTGAAAATACTGATATATTGAGCTCTTATCCTTCAGTACTTAATCTGGTTGACAGACAAGGCATCTCAAACGATATCACGTATGAGAACAACTCTGTTATAAATATGTTTTCTCCTTGTGTGATATCTTCAGCCTGACCAAAGACATGACAGGGAAGGAGGATGTGTACAGAGGACCTGCTATCAGAGCCCTCTGCAGGATCACTGATGTGAGTGCTGCTTCAGCTTGTTTTCCCTGTCCTGTTGCCCCATCTCTCCCTTCACATTGTCATCTCATGCTATACATATTATATATACATATTTAGAATTTCATTTAGAGGTGAAGCATTATTTTATTAAAACGTTCCTTGTCATCCCCACAGACCACCATGCTGCAGGCCATTGAGAGATACATGAAGCAGGCTATTGTCGACAAGGTGCCCAGTGTGTCCAGCTCGGCCCTGGTCTCCTCACTGGTAAGACAAGGCACTGTTTTACATTTCTCTTATACATTCAAAGATTCTCCTGATATGTTATGGTTCCATAACGTTGAGATTCACTTGTCATATCATTGGGGTAATGTAGTCCTTTCTCTCTGTGTGTGCAGCACATGGTGAAGATGAGCTACGATGTGGTGAAGCGCTGGGTGAATGAGGCTCAGGAAGCTGCTTCCAGTGACAACGTCATGGTCCAGGTGTGTAGGAGACATTCATGTTAGTTTGAGCACTTATCTGTTTGTAGAGGGAAGAGTAATATGTGAGTGTGTTCGGTTGGAGCAGATTATATATAACTTGTTACAGTTACATTTCAAAGTGTTGCTTGTATGTGTGTCTCTTGTCCCAGTACCATGCCCTGGGCCTGTTGTACCACCTGAGGAAGAACGACCGCCTGGCCGTCACCAAGATGCTCAACAAGTTCACCAAGTCCGGTCTCAAGTCTCCCTTTGCCCACTGCATGCTCATCAGGATCGCCAGCAAGCTGCTGGACGAGACGGAGGGGGGGTGAGAAAATATTTCAGATTCTTTCATTTAAATGATCATGATATTAAAAAATATACTATATAATTATATATTTCCTAGAGGTGTCAAAAATCAACACATTTTCCAATGTGTAACATTTCATAAAGTACATTCTAATATTTAACAAATGTTTGATCTCTTAAAATCTGCAATACAACTAAAGGTATGATTCTAAGTACATTCTTAATGAAGAATATGGTGTTAAAAAAGTAAAAATAACTCCCTGGGATATAAATAAGGCCGTCCCCAGTATATTCTCCACCCTACCATGGGTCCTTGGCTGAAAAAAAGAACCTTTTATTCTAGTAGACAAACAAAACACCTCGGTAGTGGCCTGGACAACATGGTGCAAACTGCAGGGTTAATGAGCACTGAATTCTGCCTTTTTATTTCCAGGCACGACAGCCCGTTGTTTGACTTCATCGAGAGCTGCCTGAGGAACAAGAATGAGATGGTGGTGTACGAGGCGGCCTCTGCCATCGTCCACATGCCCAACTGTACGGCCCGGGAGCTGGCCCCCGCCGTGTCAGGTCAGGAGTTTACCCACATCTCAGTCCTCACTGTTCTATCTGTATAGTGGGCTGTCAGAACAGAATGGTGTGTTCATGAGTCTCACTGTGGATGTGTTCCCACAGTGCTGCAGCTCTTCTGCAGCTCTCCCAAAGCAGCCCTGAGGTACGCTGCAGTCCGGACCCTCAACAAGGTACAGCTTCACTCAACATCCTCCTTTACATGGCTTCTTTTATTTATGATGTGTAAGCATAGATATTTCAATTAAATTAAAGGAGACCTATCATGCAAAATGCACTTTTTGACTTCTTTTATACATGAATATGTGTCCCCGGTGCATCGGGGAACTCACGCAGCGTCAGAAAATAAAACCCTCTCTCTTTTCCTCCGTACCCAAATCTTTTAAAAACGGATGTACAACGAGTGGATACAGATTCCATCCGAGGTGACGTCGGCGGACCCACAGAAAGTTGCTATCAGAAACAATGCCTGACGTGTTTTGGACGTCTTTGTTTACATTAGCAAGCCTCGCTAACACTCAGAGCTAACCTGTACTGGAGAGCACATGAGTTTAAAAAGCAGGAAATACAAAAAGGAACTCACCTTGTGATAAACCCGCAAGAGAAAAAGTATTTGAGATCCATACTGTTTCAGAAATAATCTTTGATGTGGATAAGAACAGGATGGCGTTTTATCACAGCAGAATTTAACTTTATCTCCAGTAGAATTCTGATCAGGCATTAGCTCCGCCTCCTTATTTATTTTTTTCAAGCTAAGGACCCAAAATCCGCTTTTCTCTAACAGGGCTGCAAACGAGGGGTTTGAGCAGTATGAGGCATGGCTACAATGGGTGATCTGTTTGGTATTTTAAGCAAAAAACTTCACAGACATGTTTTATATAGGTATGGCCCTACAATATATATTTCAAATATAGCATAATAGGTCCACTTTAAATTAAAGAGTGGTCCCTTTTGATGTCACAGCTACATACGTAAAGCATGCCTGAAAGTGCTTTTTATAACCCATCTGTTTTGACACACACTGACATGTTCCCTGTGTCCACTAGGTGGCCATGAAGCATCCATCAGCTGTGACTGCGTGCAACCTG